TAAGCATTCTAGATGTTGGTGAGTGAATACGCACTACACAGAATGTGAAATTCTGCGGGATTATTCTGTTCTGAGATATCACCCCAAGTTATTTAGTCAAGCTACTTTCCGTTTCGAATGTGTAAGGTTATGAATAAACACACAAATCATGAGTGAGTGTGGTTTTTCGCCGATTTTAGCAATATTCAAGCAATATCACGGCGGGGACACCAGAAATATGACAAAGCTCCAAATAATAAACCCAGTTACGTTAGACGAATATTCTTCGGTGTATAGCTACACGATAAAGGTCCAGTTCTAATGTTCCCAAAAGGATCCGAGTTAGAATAGGTCTTCAGCCACCCAAGAGGCGACTAACGGTGGTCGGGTGATCGGGCGGTCAGGCCCGCTGACTTGCTTGATGCATGTCATCGTATCCCAATTGTGTAGATCCATGCTCATGATGTCAACCACTGGATTGTCTGGTACAGACTCGATTATTTACAGACCGCCGTCATATAGCTGGAATATTGCTCAGTGCGGCGTGTTAAACAACAAACAAACAGGTTATAATTGTTATTTCTAGCTACCAATAATATATTTCCGCCAAAAGATTCCAATAATAGACCCAGTCCTTATTGTTTTACAAGTATCGGCCAGCAGTACCAAAAATGATAGGTTCACTTTCTATGTATGTATGTTGTTGGTAAAGCTATCCGTCACATCGCTGCTTCAAATAATAGACAATGAGTGAGTATGGTTTTACTCCGCTTTTAGCAATATTCCAGCAATATCACGGCGGTGGACACCAAACTTGGGCTTCACACATTGTGCCCATGAGGGGAATCGAACCTTGATCTTCGGCGTGACGAGCGAACGCTGTAACCACTAGACTACCCCACCGACCCCCAAATCATAACATGATATATCATTGTCATTCAGATATTAAGCATCATTTTCCCCGTTCACATTAGATGGCTATAAAATATTATAATTTTCGAACAGTATACGATTAACGGCGAACGATAAAATGTTGCAAAATCGTACTGTTCTTTTATGCAAACTCTTTGAACTTAGAACTGTCTATTTTTCAAACCAGTTTTAAATCTGTATTTAATTTTACACCATCGGATAGAAATAGCTTTATCTACATCTCTGGGTAAGTTTAATTTCAGGGGTATACTCAGTGTCGCGTGACTGGAATTCACCCACAGCGCTGACATAATTCACGTTTCAAAAATTATGAAAAGGTGCGTCAGAAAATAAACTCGTGAAAACTGTAGCCTACTAAACTACCGGACAAAAGAAAGTATCCGCACACACTGATCAGGGCAATGCATGCTTCACTCCGCTCATAACTGTGTAGTGTGGAATTGCGAATCCCAAAGTTCCTCAAGCATTGCTATGATGAATGTAATGTATCAAATATTTCACCATCGAATAACCATTTCTTGTTTGGTTCATTCTGGGCCATCATAAAACATAGGTGTAAACTTCTTTTGCCCGGTAGTGTAGTTTAGATCGAGCTGGCGGTGTAAACATCTGCGGTGATGCATGGCCGACTTGTTGACTCGCATGTTATTATTTTCATCAAAAGAAGCCTTGTATTGTGTTTTCAAGGACATGTGTCAAGCACGGCATGTTTGACCTCTTATCGTTAATACAGTAAATGTCTGTTCTCACACTGACCTGGTACAAAGACACCCAAGGATTCGGGTATAGTCCTTGAAATCTCTCCGCAGCCAATAAATCTATTGTCTTCTACGTAAAGCTATCGATTATGACAGAGCTCAAAATAATAAACCCAGTTACGTTAGACGAATATTCTTCGGTGTATAGCTACACGCAAAAGGTCCAGTTCTAATGTTCCCGAAAGTATCCGAGTTAGAATAGGTCTTCAGCAACCCAAGAGGCGACTAACGGTGGTCGGGTGATCGGGTGGTCAGGCCCGCTGACAAGCTTGATGCATGTCATCGTATCCCAATTGTGTAGATCCATGCTCATGATGTCAATCACTGGATTGTCTGGTACAGACTCGATTATTTACAGACCGCCGTCATATAGCTGGAATATTGCTCAGTGCGGCGTTAAATAACAAACAAACAAGTTATATTTGTTATTTCTAGCTACCAATGATATATTTCCTCCAAAAGATTCCAATAATAGACCCAGTTCTTATTGTTTTACAAGTATCGGCAATCAGTACTAAAAATGATAGGTTCACTTTCTTTTGTCGTAATGTATGTTGTTGGTAAAGCTATCCGTCACATCGCTGCTTCAAATAATAGACAATGAGTGAGTATGGTTTTACTCCGCTTTTAGCAATATTCCAGCAATATCACGGCGGTGGACACCAAACTTGGGCTTCACACATTGTGCCCATGTCGGAAATCGAGGCCGGGTATTCGGCCTGACGAGGGAACGCTTTAACCACTAGACTACCCCACCGCCCCTATAACACATATGAATGGCGTAACAATCGTATCTAGTCAGAAAATATGACTATCCTCTATTCATCAACCTTTATCTTAAATGATATATAGGTACTAAAAAACAAATTAATGCAGTCTTCATTAAAAAAAACCTGTTTTCAAGATACATTTCTTCGAAGTTGAACTCACAGAGGACAAGTGCACTAAGTCTCAATGCCCGCACGCATGTTCAGCCACACCACATGTTGATAGAACGCTACAGGACATCACATAAAATGTTATACAACACACGGCCCGTACCGAGGATATGTCCTACAGTCGAGTCAGACAATATCTGGTTCCCTTTCTGAACTAGACCTGTTTACAATAGTTAAAAGAAAAGTAGGTCAACCATCGACATGACACAAAGATGTGAGCTCCGTTGAACAGTTGTTCAAAGGAGTTACCCTTAAAATAGATGCATTTATATTCATCCTGGAGGCACAAGGATGGTCCGATATCATAACACGTGGGTGTCTAGCTTTTCAATATGAACACATATATAACCCCCTGCATATATATAAGACCCCTGCATTATGTTTAATCAAACATATCCTACTTTGAATGTTATACTCCCCATGATATTATTTGTTGTTGTTGTTCACCGTTCTTTTAGATTTTGTGATTTTGTTTGCTGTTTAACGCCTCACTCAGTAATATTCAAGCCATATAACGGCGATCTGTAAATAATCGAGTTTGGACCAGACAATCCAGTAATTGACATCAAACGCATCGATCCACGCAATTGGGATACGATGACATGCATCAACCAAGTCAGCGAGCCTGACCACCCGATCCCGTTCGTAGCATCTTTCGACATTCGATATTCGCCTTTTACGGCAAGCATGGGTTGCTGAAGACCTATTTTACATATCCAATTGGTCGCTGAAACTAGCTAGGCGTCACAGATGTGTTTTGAGGATCAGAAGCGTCTGTCGAAGCGCACTCCTGTGACCCGTGAAGATCCGGGGTAGAATAGGTCTTCAGCAACCCATGCTTGCCGTAAAAGGCGACTATGCTTGTAAAAGGCGACTAACGGGATCGAGTGGTCAGGCTCGCTGACTGGGTTGATGCATGTCATCGATCCCAATTGTGTGGATCGATGCTCATGATATTAATCACTGGATTGTCTGGTCCAGACTCGATTATTTACAGATCGCCGTCATAAAGCTGGAATATTTTGCTGAGTGTGGCGTTAAACAACAAACCAGCCAACCAACCAACCTTCTTCGTTCATTAATTGCGTGGCAGATACTTACGTATCCTCGTACAACGATGTCATACGGATACCATAGAATCTTTACGAGTACGACAATAAAGATGGTGATTTCAGTGATATTATATGTCCGCTTCATTCAATAATTCACCGCTTTCAAAAGCTGGTTGGTTTGTTGTTTAACGCCACACTCAGCAATATTCCAGCTATATGACGGCGGTCTGTAAATAATCGAGGCTGGACCAGACAATCCTGTGATTAATATCATGAGCATCGATCCACGCAAATTGGATCGATGACATACTTGTCACCTTTTACGGCAAGCATGGGTTGCTGAAGACCTATTTTACCCCGGATCTTCACGGGTCGCTTTCAAAAGAGTGAATGCGTTGAGCATACGTCGTTAGCAGTATTTCAATTATATCCATGTTTCAGTCTGACTTGAATGCTCAAAGTAGCACTTTTCATAGATGTTTACCCTTTGCTTAACGTTGGCATATGAAGCCGAAGGCCCAGGGACGAGTCCTCAAACATATATGTATATCCATTGTTGGTGACCTCCGCTGTGGTATGGCTGGGATATTGATGAAGGCAGCGTGAAACCTCACTCACGTACTTCAACCTATGTTGTTTGTGTGTTTGTTTATTAACGCCGCACTCAGCAATATGCCAGCAATATGCCAGCCGTCTGTAAATAATCGAGTCTTGAACAGACAATCCAGTGATTGACATCATAATCATTGATCCACGCAATTGGGATACGATGACATGCATCATCCAAAACAGCGAACCTGACCACCTGATCCCGTTAGTCGCCTCTTACGACGAGCGTAGTCGCCTTTTACGGCAAAACAGACAAGATTCAAGATCTGAGACAGGACTCTGTCAAGACATTTAACAGTGACAATATTGTGAACTTTCGTGAGTGCAGTAACATGAATTCTGGGGCCTGTTACTTTATTGCGTCTGACACAAATTTGACCTATTGTGTTGCATGTACCGCTGTATGAGTACAATAACACGACGTTAAACCCCACCTCACCTCACCTCACCTCACCTCACCTCAACTCAACTCAACTCAACTCATTTCATTAATGTCAAGTAATACCAAAGCTACACTGCCAGCCATAGAACGTAACATGCCATTGTGTTCATAGATAACATTTAGACAGATGTCATTCATTTTATGTCTGGGCAAAGTTGAAGTTAAAAATGTGAAAACAAGCAATTGTGTTCAGGGGCGGATCCATGATTTTAAAAAAAAGGGGTTCCAACTTGGCCATCTGTACCTTCCGTTGAGGGTTCCACCGAAACATCACACATACGATATGTGAACCATTTTTTATTTTACGTAAACCAAATGAACACGTTATCATGGTAGGTAACATTTTTTTTTTCACATTCACATTTCAAAAAAGGGGTGTGGCCACACCTAGAACACGACCTGCACCCTCCCCTTGGATTCGCCACTTGTGTGGATGATAGCTAGATGTAGATACTAGCATGCAACTTCATCAAGCATGTAAACTATGACAAACAGATTCTTGTAACTGAATACCACTAATTTAACCTTATTTATATTTTTTTGGTATTTTCATCCTCATCAACATGACACCTTGTTGTGTTGGGATCTTCATACTTGAGGAACGACAGACTTAATAAATCCCATGAACCCCATGCATGTATTCGTGGGTTCTGAAAGCATACAAGTACAATTGAATTAACACGTGCGTGGGATGACCGATCAAACTCATCACTTCGAATAAGAGTCTCTGAGAAAGAAGCGCTTGCATCACTTCTGTAGGCGACAAGAAACTCTACAGGTGAACTTCAGCGGTTGTATGATGATGCCAGGGTTCCAGAGACTCGGGTCGAAAGGCGGAAGCGTCTCGCCCTCTGGTGGCAGAAACACGAAACGCTGTAACAGGAACGTGACGTACAGGAACAGCCTTGACCTCGCAAGAGTTTCGCCAGGACACTGACGTCTTCCGGTCCCAAACGGAAGTAGACTGTAAAAGAGGATAAGAGGCTAAATATAACATTATTCACGCAATTAAACGTTTAAAAACATTGAGAGCAATTATAAAACAATATTTTTTGTATTTAGAATAGCATGTCAGGCTGGACGATGAGGTCATGCTTTATTAAACGACGCTCTGCAAAGGGAATATGAGACAGAATTGGCCCAAGTTCCTCAAATGGTTATCGGACGAGTCCACTTAATCGGACATAGACTGTGCTCGAGCTGATTGTGCGTCATCTTTGCACGACGGCGTGGGTGGTTGCTTTTGCGGTTTACCGCTGAAGCTTGATTCAAGATTACTTTCAAGACACGTCTGAGCCGTGAAGTTCCAGGTAGACAATTCAGCAACCAATGCGTGTCGTAAAAGGCGACTATGCCCGTCCTAAGAGGCGACTAATGGGATCGGGTTGTCAGGCTCGCTAACTTGGTTGATCGTATACCAAATGCGTGGATCGATGCTCATGATATCAATCACTGGATTGTCTGGTCCAAACTCGATAATTTACAGACCGTCGTCATATAGCTGGAATATTGCTGAGTGCGGTGTTAAACAGCAAACAAACAAACAAACAAAAACAAGCCACGTCATATATATGCAATGCTGCTGACTGCGACATTGTAAGCAGACACTACTCTTAGGAGGATCTATGTTCCGTGACCTGGTGCCCATGCCCAAGGTCAAGGTTATCAGTTCCAGGTGGTACTAAAACATTGTTTCTGTGTGGCAACTCTTCTCATTAGCAGGGGACACGGGTGGCCCAGTCGTCTAAGGCGCCGCAATTCGCTGTGCAGAGTTGCGTCCCTAGGGCACGCCTGAAACCTATGATTGTGGATTCGAATCCCGCTTCGCCCCGATTATGTTTCTAGGTTTGTCAGCAACATACCCGTGCTCATGGGTTTCACCGAAGTGGGAAACGTCTGAGACCTACATCACTTCGGGCTTTCCCCCCACATTAAGCTGACACGCCGCGATATAACTGGAATACTGTTAAAAGCGGCATTAAACCCAACTCACTCACTCACTCACTCTCCTCATTAGCTGCAAGGTTGATTTTGAAAATTATACAAAAACGAGTCTGCAGCCAAAATGGTGTGTGAATTAATTGAATCAAACCAGTTCTGCCAAGTGACCAAGCCTAGTGCCTCAGTCACGTTAAAATACGTACTTTTACCCTGCCTTGCGCTCGGTATTAAGGGGATAAAACAAGGACTGGTCGGCTCGGAGCCAGTACACTGTATCTGAGTGAGGTATCCATGTTAAACGTCGGGATGGTATCTCAGTGGACTAGCACTATAAAACCTGCATTAGTCCGGACTAGTACATACCGATACGCGCGCCCGCGTCGCTATATTAATGCAATAATCTTGAACGCGACGTTAAACCAAATTTCACCCGTCATTTAAATGGTCAGTGTCAACAGGGACTATGTCTCGTCATATTTACGAGTGAGTGAGTGAGTATGGTTTCACACCGCTTTTGGCATTATTCCAGCAATATCACTGCGGGGGACACAAGAAATGGGCTTCGCACATTGTACCCAAGTAGGGAATCGAACCCGGGTCTTCGGCGTAACTGGCGAACGCTATAACGCTTTAAGGCTACCTCACCGCCCCTTTCGAGAACACCAAATATTGATGTTTCCAAAACATGTGACTATTTACTATTACGATGGAGCTGAGGTTTTTGTCTTTGTTGCCTGTCTTTTCTCTTGAAGCAGAACCTACAACACATCATCTCCAAAACCTTTAAAATTTTTAGAACAGATTTCTTTTTAAAAAATCCTATTTTCACCTAATATTCCACCCCAAAGAAAGTCCCCAAGAACATGTTTACTTACTTCCGCCTGAGGGGGTGTTCCCCGCCGAGGAGTGTCCCGTCATCTCGGAGGAACCTCTCCGGACGGAACTTCCACGGGTCTCCCCACACAGCCTCGTCGTGGTGGATGTACCACAGGTTGGAGACCACCTGACACAGAATCAGAGTGGGTGTGATGGGGTTAACACAGCTGGGAACAGCATTTCAGTGTCACGTTTTAGTGAAACCCGAGAGCATCATAATGAAGGCGAATATTGAACGTGCTTTGACGTATAGCTCGTAAAATGTCTAAGGTCCGGACTCCTATATGTACACCTGTATGGGAAGGAGTATAGGGGTAGGATAGGTCTTCAGCAACCCATGCTTGTCGTAATAGGCGACTAACGGGATCGGGTGGTCAGGCTCGCTGATTTGGTTGATGCATGTCATTGTATCCCAATTGCGTGGATCGATGCTCATGATGTCAATTGCTGGATTGTCTGGTCCAGCCTCGATTATTTACAGACCGCCGTCATATAGCTGGAATATTGCTGAGTGTGGCGTTAAACAACACACAAAACATGAAGCAACAATACCATAATCATAAATATGAAAGCCAACGCCAGAAAATAACCAGTCTCGATTGTCCGACGAAACAGATTCCATTGAGCATAGAAGGCAAAATAGCGGTAAAACTTATATGAATTGATCACTGAAAATCAGTGACGACACCAGGTGGTCTTTGAAAATCGTAAGCATGACATGCCCTACAGAGAGCACCCGCCCTTCACACAATTTGCATAGAATGTATGTGTTAGTTGCCTGGCACCGCACAGCAGTACTCTTGAGAAATCGCCAATGTACGATTCATCATAAGCACGTGTTAATGAATCATCATCATCATCATCATCATTATCACTACCACAGTACTCTTGATGCACCCCTCCCCTGAAAATCAGTATTCATTCCTCACATGACAAATGCATGCTAAAGACCCGTTGCCAATAAGTTCTACGTACCATAGCATTCTTTGGAATGGTGAACCCTCTTACTTCGATGTCCTTTCTACAACTGTGTGGAACTCCCAGCACTGCATGACTGATGTACCTCAGGAGCTCTAGAATGGTTGCTTCGGTGTAAGGAAGACTGGAGCGGTCCTCAATAACAGGGTTACGAGTTCCTATCTTAGCCTCGATCTCGTTATATATCCGTTCCTGAATATGTGGGTAATGCAGAAACGACAGGAACATGCCGACGAGAGCCCCTTTCGAAGTCAGGTATGCTGTAACGATAACGCCATCTATAACGCTGGTTTAAATAACAGATGATCGCAGAAATACAAAGAGGTGCCGAGTGATTGTAATGGATGGATAAGAAAATGGAAGGACGAGGTCTAACATAACACAATAGAACATGTTGGCGGAGTATTGTGAGTGTGCAAATAATGGAGAAGGATGACAAGGGCGTGTAGTCAGAAGGTGAACGTTTCAGATGACTTGATTAACAAGAAAACAGCATTATCACTTTCCACCGCCATTGGGCACTTTAGAATTTTCTTTTTCACATAACAGTGGATAAAAACTATCAAAAAAGTCCTATATAGCCTTAGAAGAGATGGGCACTTGGGGCGTTTTATGTCTTCAGATATTAAATGTAAAATTAATACACACAAAAATCCCTTTCTCAAGAAAATTAACTGTCTTGATAAGTATCTCTTAGCTAAGCTAACTTCCGTAGTTTCTGAGAAAACATGTCCGCATTGCACACACTATGCACCAAGAACAAAAACATGGATCAAGGTCCGTTACTCTGTAAATAAATAATTTACGGGACCAACTTTCGAAAACTCAGTCTCGACAAATATCTCTTAAATAGGCATGTAAACTTTTACAAATGTAACTTCAGTAGTTTCTGAGAAAACGTGTCCCCATTGCACACACTACGCACTAAGCTGAAAAGCATGGAGCAAGGGCCATAACTCTGTAAATAATAATTGACAGGACCAATTTTCGATTTAAGTGTTGACAAGTATCTCTTACCCGCCATACCCGCCCCACTTCATGCTCCCAAGATGGGTCAAACATTCGTTTATGCGGTGTGACATGGTCCGAATCAATCTCCGAATGATAATTTGAGGGTGTTGTCCGCTACTCTGCAGCGCCTGGACCCGTTCCGCTGAGTAGCGGGTGGCCTTTGACTCGGGTGGCCTCCCGATCATGGTCCAGACGTGCTCTATTGGGGAAAGGCCAGGACTCAGGGCTGGACATTGCATTCTGGTGTTGTTTTGCTGCTGGAGGTAGTGTCTGTAGGGTGGGCACAGACGTTTTCGTCTTGAAAGGCAAATCGTGGACGAGTATAGTGCGCAAACGACACAGAAACTATGTGTATAGTGTTGTCTTCTCTGTATCTCACCTGCTGCACTCATGTCGAGTGTGATGGCTGATATCTGGTCGTCCGTGAGTCCCCGGGCACCTGCCTGCTGCTGCTGCTGCTGCTCCTCCTTCCGTCTCTGTTCCTCCAGCAACACGGACACCACCCCACCCCGATCTTCCCCGAGGGTGTTTCGCTTCTGAGAGCAGTACAAATCGACAGCACTACATACATGTAGAAGTGTGGTGAGTGTACGGTATTCCAGTTTTATCATTATAGAATGTCAGCTTAATGTGAGAGGAAAGTCCGAAGTGATGCAGGTCGCAGACGTTTACCACTTCGGTGAAACCCACGAGCACAGTTATGGGGCTGACAAACCTGGAAACGTAATCAGGGCGAAAAAAATAATTAATAATTACAAATATTACCATAACCTAACTTTATCCGACTACTGAAGAAAACAAAATACTCACCTTCCGATCCTTGACAAATACTTGAGCCACGGCGTCCCTATACTTGACAGCGTTCTGCCAGATGCGGCCATGTTTGATAGGGAAATGCCGCAGCACGGGGATGGTAGCAAGCACCGTCTGGACGTCGAAGCCGTTCAGGCGATTACCCCACAAGTTGTAGTTCTTCATGTCATCGATGATGTTCGTCTCCCTGTGGGCACTATCGCCAGTTATCTGTTGTTAAAAAAATCTCCAGTTTTCTATACGTCACAGGAGGCATGGATGACTACAAACTTGTTGTAAGAGTTGAATACCTAAGCTAGGCCAGGATCCGCTGCTCGTGTGAACTCCAGATTCTCCCCGATCTACGTCACAGGAGGCATGGATGACTACAAACTTGTTGTAAGAGTTGCATACCTAAGCTAGGCCAGGATCAGCTGCTCGTGTGAACTCCAGATTCTCCCCGATCTACGTCACAGGAGGCATGGATGACTACAAACTTGTTGTAAGAGTTGAATACCTAAGCTATGCCAGGATCTGCTGCTCGTGTGAACTCCAGATTCTCCCCGATCTACGTCACAGGAGGCATGGATGACTACAAACTTGTTGTAAGAGTTGAATACCTAAGCTAGGCCAGGATCCGCTGCTCGTGTGAACTCCAGATTCTCCCCGATCTACGTCACAGGAGGCATGGATGACTACAAACTTGTTGTAAGAGTTGAATACCTAAGCTAGGCCAGGATCAGCTGCTCGTGTGAACTCCAGATTCTCCCCGATCTACGTCACAGGAGGCATGGATGACTACAAACTTGTTGTAAGAGTTGAATACCTAAGCTAGGCCAGGATCCGCTGCTCGTGTGAACTCCAGATTCTCCCCGATCTACGTCACAGGAGGCATGGATGACTACAAACTTGTTGTAAGAGTTGCATACCTAAGCTATGCCAGGATCAGCTGCTCGTGTGAACTCCAGATTCTCCCCGATCTACGTCACAGGAGGCATGGATGACTACAAACTTGTTGTAAGAGTTGAATACCTAAGCTAGGCCAGGATCCGCTGCTCGTGTGAACTCCAGATTCTCCCCGATCTACGTCACAGGAGGCATGGATGACTACAAACTTGTTGTAAGAGTTGAATACCTAAGCTAGGCCAGGATCCGCTGCTCGTGTGAACTCCAGATTCTCCCCGATCTACGTCACAGGAGGCATGGATGACTACAAACTTGTTGTAAGAGTTGAATACCTAAGCTAGGCCAGGATCCGCTGCTCGTGTGAACTCCATATTCTCCCCGATCTACGTCACAGGAGGCATGGATGACTACAAACTTGTTGTAAGAGTTGAATACCTAAGCTAGGCCAGGATCCGCTGCTCGTGTGAACTCCAGATTCTCCCCGATCTACGTCACAGGAGGCATGGATGACTACAAACTTGTTGTAAGAGTTGAATACCTAAGCTAGGCCAGGATCCGCTGCTCGTGTGAACTCCAGATTCTCCCCGATCTTTACCCGTAGTTCGACCTTGGTAATACTAGTTGTCAAAGTGAATCCGGTTTCGAATCACTACATGGTTATAACATGCCTGAAGCCAATTCTTGGTGTGGCTTCGCCGACATATGGCTTGTTTTTCTTCTTCTAAAATGACGCAAACCATACCCGCTCCCAATGATCAGAGGTCTTTGCATGTGCCATGTGGCTTTCTCCACTAAGGCGTACACTTTACTTTTGATCATGAGCATAATCAGACGGGGCAGTGTAATCTGATACACAGAATCCATGCATAATTGGTATGCAAGAACACTATCAAATACTAATGCATAAATTAATTATTTATAAAGCAGAACGTGTGGTCGTATAACCCAGTAAGCGTTACCGTATTTCCTCGTCTACATGTCCCACTACCGGGGGTAGGGTTAGGTTAGTGAGAAAGTTAGTTAGAAACATGTACCAATGTTCCTTGGGGGATTTACCTCACATTACTCCCATTGGCTACAAATTTGAAAAATTAAGGCGATTTTATCGATATATGGATTTTAAAAACCTGGACAATGATCACCTCCAACTACGTGTGCATTATTTCATCGAAAGTTTACATTGAATAAGGATTCCCGAAAACGTAAAACGATTAAAGGTTTCGTGGGGGCGTCACCAGTGACATGTGGAACACCTATCATTACGATATTACACTCGACATATGAGGTAAAACACATATAAACATCAACATATCAACACGATCTACATCACGGCGGAAGACGTTCTGGAGCTAATACTTATCGTGTGTGCTACCAAAGCTGACCTACAAAATTATAAACATTTTCTTCGCCAATGTTAAAAATTAGAACAGGAAATACAATGTTTGGATAAGTATGATACCGTTTCATAATCCAGTTTAATCGTCATGAACGCAGTTTCAATCGATGATAAGTTTAACGGCAAAAGAGAAAATCAAAAGAAAGATAGTTTTCGTGCGTTAAATAAATGTGAGGTTTACTCACTGAACACGATATAAAAGAATTGGGAAGTTGGTTAGAAAGGGGTCATTTGGAAAAAAACGATTCAAATAAGGACGTAAGTAAGGGGTCGAAGTCGACTAACGTTCTTTAATCATAATTACTAACAAACAAGATTTGAACAATCGCGGCGACCCAGATAAGGCCACCGGGTTAAAGTTCAAATCAAACATCTTATTGAATGACCTTCACATTCACTAATATGGATTACCTCCACCAAGAAGAATATGTATTACCTTCCCCTTCCTGAATATGATTGACATTCACCTACCAGGATATGAATGACCTTCACCTACCAGAATATGAATTACACGTAAAAGTGACTCCGAAAACACTGTTTCCATGTCCACGTTTCCGGAAGACGTACTCAGAATGTGGGCAACGTTCTGAAGCTCTTCCAATGCCAATGCTTCAAAACTGTGAACACCGTCCCCGTACAGTTTCAGAGAGTTGTGAAACATTTTCCTGAAATACACCAACGTGCTGTCGTACGTCACGAACTCTGTGATGTTACTGTAGTTGTTGGCCACGTATTTACCGAAGAAGGTCTCGGGTCTGTCGTTGGTGACTGCTTTGAAGTCCGCACCGTTCATCACTTCTCGGACCAGTTCAGATGTGTTCAAGAACACCATGGTCTTCCCGATGGCATTCACGGAAAACATGTCGCCGTGCTCCTTGGCCCATTTTACCGCCGACAGGTGGACTCTCTGCGACTGAAGGGCGCTGATTATCTCCGAGAATACCCTCACACCAGAGGGTCCTGGGGGTAAAGGGCGTTTCCGATAGCTCGACCATTTCTGGTAAAGTAGCCAGACCAATAACCCTACGATGAGGGAAAGTAGATAGGTAAGCGCCATGTCCATCGTTAACGTACGTGAACTATTCTGTGAAGTGATTCGCAGTGTTAACAAGCTATTGCAGTCAATGTCACGTTGATAGTGAAGACGGACGTGAGAATCACCGTCACACAGCATTAAGGGTCAATTTGTTGTCAGTTTTGGTTTACGCAATATCATGCATAGCACGATATGTGTTCGTTATATTCAGGTTTCATATTTAATTACCCTTTCGGACATTTTGATCTCACAAAAGTATCAGCTCGTGTCATGCTCTCTAGATCTCTTCACTTAAGATAAGGTCAGTATGAGGTCACACGTACCTCCACACACAAATTTTGTGTTAAGGTCACTGGTCACACGTTCCTCCATACACAAACTCTGTGTTGAGGTCACTGGTCACATATTCCTCCATACACAAACTCTGTGTTGAGGTCACTGATCACATATTCCTCCACACACAAACTCTGTGTTAAGGTCACTGGTCTCATATTCCTCCACACACAAACTCTGTGTTGAGGTCACTGGTCACACGTTCCTCCACACACAAACTTTGTGTTAAGGTCACTGGTCACATATTCCTCCACACACAAACTCTGTGTTAAGGTCAATGGTCACACTTTCCTCCATACACAAACTCTGTGTTGAGGTCAATGGTCACATGTTCCTCCACACACAAACTTTGTGTTGAGGTCACACGTTCCTCCATACACAAACTCTGTGTTGAGGTCACACGTTCCTCCATACACAAACTCTGTGTTGAGGTCAATGGTCACATGTTCCTCCATACACAAACTCCGTGTTGAGGTCACACGTTCCTCCATACACAAACTCTGTGTTGAGGTCACATGTTCCTCCACACACAAAATCTGTGTTGAGGTCACTGGTCACATATTCCTCCATACACAAACTCTGTGTTGAGGTCAATGGTCACATGTTCCTCCACACACAAACTTTGTGTTGAGGTCACACGTTCCTCCATACACAAACTCTGTGTTGAGGTCACACGTTCCTCCATACACAAACTCTGTGTTGAGGTCAATGGTCACATGTTCCTCCATACACAAACTCTGTGTTGAGGTCACACGTTCCTCCATACACAAACTCTGTGTTGAGGTCACACTTTCCTCCATACACAAACTCTGTGTTGGGGTCACATGTTCCTCCACACACAAACTTTGTGTTAAGGTCACTGGTCATACGTTCCTCCACACACAAAATCTGTGTTGAGGTCACTGGTCACATATTCCTCCACACACAAACTCTGTGTTAAGGTCACTGGTCACATATTCCTCCACACACAAACTCTGTGTTGAGGTCAATGGTCACATGTTCCTCCACACACAAACTCTGTGTTAAGGTCACTGGTCACATGTTCCTCCACACACAAACTCTGTGTTGAGGTCAATGGTCACATGTTCCTCCACACACAAACTCTGTGTTAAGGTCACTGGTCACACGTTCCTCACGTTTTATTTTATATTTATTTAATACATCAATGGGGTCATGATGATGGTGGTGATGATGCAAATAAAAACAAATGTAAACTATTTCTGAATATATTTTCTGATTATGGGTTTTGTCTCCGATGAATCACATGCATCAACTGAACGAACCTTGACTAATCCGGACTACTGCCTAACCAAATTAAACTTTTGGCCACGGCAAGGTTTTGACAAGTTCCACTGTACAAATAAATCTGCAGAAAAAAATGGTACTGATTTAAATTCAAAAGTGTCATCTTTATTATGTCAGAACACAATTTCTGTATCACATGTTGTTCAAACACAAACTGTTTTGACATCACACATTCTTTGAATTACACACAAACTTTGTTCAGGTCACTGGTCACACGTTGATCACCACACAAACTTGTGCTGAGATCAATAGTCATACATTCCTCCAAACACAAACTTTGTGTTGAGGTCACTGGTCGGACGTACCTCCACACACAAACTCTGTGTTAGGTCACTGGTCACACATTCCTCCATACACAAACTCTTTGTTGAGGTCAATGGTCACACGTTCCTCCATACACAAACTCTGTGTTGAGGTCACACGTTCCTCCATACACAAACTCTGTGTTGAGGTCAATGGTCACATGTTCCTCCACACACAAACTCTGTGTTGAGGTCACACATTCCTCCACACACAAACTCTGTGTTGAAGTCACATGTTCCTCCACACACAAACTCTGTGTTGAGGTCACACGTTCCTCCACACACAAACTCTGTGTTGAGGTCACACGTTCCTCCATACACAAACTCTGTGTTGAGGTCAATGGTCACACTTTCCTCCATACACAAACTCTGTGTTGAGGTCACACGTTCCTCCACACACAAACTCTGTGTTGAGGTCACACATTCCTCCACACACAAACTCGTGTTGAGGTCAATGGTCACACGTTCCTCCATACACAAACTCTGTGTTGAGGTCACACGTTCCTCCATACACAAACTCTGTGTTGAGGTCACACGTTCCTCCATACACAAACTCTGTGTTGAGGTCACACATTCCTCCATACACAAACTCTGTGTTGAGGTCACACGTTCCTCCATACACAAACTCTGTGTTGAGGTCACGTGTTCCTCCACACACAAATTTTGTGTTAAGGTCACTGGTCACACGTTCCTCCACACACAAACTCTGTGTTGAGGTCACTGGTCACATATTCCTCCATACACAAACTCTGTGTTGAGGTCACTGGTCACATATTCCTCCACACACAAACTCTGTGTTAAGGTCACTGGTCACATATTCCTCCACACACAAACTCTGTGTTGAGGTCACTGGTCACACGTTCCTCCACACACAAAATTTGTGTTAAGGTCACTGGTCACATATTCCTCCACACACAAACTCTGTGTTGAGGTCACACGTTCCTCCACACACAAACTCTGTGTTAAGGTCACTGGTCACATATTCCTCCACACACCATCTCTGTGTTGAGGTCACAGGTTCCTCCACACACAAACTCTGTGTTAAGGTCACTGGTCACATATTCCTCCACACACCATCTCTGTGTTGAGGTCAATGGTCACATATTCCTCCACACACAAAATCTGTGTTGAGGTCAATGGTCACATGTTCCTCCACACACAAACTCTGTGTTGAGGTCACTGGTCACACGTTCCTCCACACACAAACTTTGTGTTAAGGTCACTGGTCACATATTCCTCCACACACAAACTCTGTGTTAAGGTCAATGGTCACACTTTCCTCCATACACAAACTCTGTGTTGAGGTCAATGGTCACATGTTCCTCCACACACAAACTTTGTGTTGAGGTCACACGTTCCTCCATACACAAACTCTGTGTTGAGGTCACACGTTCCTCCATACACAAACTCTGTGTTGAGGTCAATGGTCACATGTTCCTCCATACACAAACTCTGTGTTGAGGTCACACTTTCCTCCATACACAAACTTTGTGTTGAGGTCACATGTTCCTCCACACACAAAATCTGTGTTGAGGTCACTGGTCACATATTCCTCCATACACAAAATCTGTGTTGAGGTCACTGGTCACATATTCCTCCACACACAAACTCTGTGTTGAGGTCAATGGTCACATGTTTCTCCATACACAAACTCTGTGTTAAGGTCACTGGTCACATATTCCTCCACACACAAACTCTGTGTTGAGGTCAATGGTCACATGTTCCTCCACACACAAACTCTGTGTTAAGGTCACTGGTCACACGTTCCTCCACACACAAACTTGTGTTGAGGTCACTGGTCACATATTCCTCCACACACAAACTCTGTGTTGAGGTCAATGGTCACATGTTCCTCCACACACAAACTCTGTGTTGAGGTCAATGGTCACACGTTCCTCCATACACAAACTCTGTGTTGAGGTCACTGGTCACACGTTCCTCCATACACAAACTCTGTGTTGAGGTCACTGGTCACACGTTCCTCCATACACAAACTCTGTGTTGAGGTCACTGGGCAAACTTTCTTTCACCTTCTCTTTCTGTTTCTTTTTCTTTAACTTCCTCTTCTGATTTTTTGTCAATTTTGTCAGTTCACCTGAATTGGAATCAAAATTATTTGTTTGTTTTGATGATTCAGATTTTACATCTAATGTTCCTGACTCACATCGAGGCACATCAGCTTTTTTTGGATCAATCTTAAACCTTTTTCCTCTTCTTTTTCTCCTTTTATATGGTGTTTGAGCGCCATCATCAGCTGAAACACCAAAATGCAATAGGTATTACTTACATTTACAAAAAAATAATTAGTTTAATATAGCACGATTTCAATGTCTGTTTGGTTGTTTGTTGTTTATTGCTGCACTCAGCAATATTCCAGCTATATGATGACTGTCCGTAAATAATCAAGTCTGAACCAGACAATCCCGTGATTGACATCATGAGCATCAACCCACGCAATTGGGATACGATGACATGCATCAACCAAGTCCGCAAGCTTGACCACCCAATCCCGTCAGTCGCCTCTTACAACAAGCATAGTCGCCTTTAACGGTAAGAATGGGTTGCTGAAGGCATATTCTACCCCTGATCTTCACGGGTCAGCTTGATTTCAAACACCAAGGTAATGCCACATTACAAAATATCTATAGGTTGACCAACTGGAGATACTAAGGCAGAATATGAGGAAGAAAATAAGAATCAACTGAACACAATGTTGACCTGGTGGATTGGTCTCCTCCTACTGAACTCAAGTCATCCAGTGATTGACATCATGAGCATCAATCTACACAATTGACATGTATCAACCAAGTCAGCGAGTCTGCCCACAACTGAACTGACTGAACTTGGTATGGCTAGGCGATATTCCCATCTAGAGTCTGCCCACAACTGAACTGACTGAACTTGGTATGGCTAGGCGATATTCCCATCTAGAGTCTGCCCTCATACAACAGTGCCTTGAGAAAACACATCATTCTAACGGGCTTGAAATAAAAACACAAGTTTGCATCTGACATTATGGATACAAATGAAAATTTGTTTGCCTTTCTTCAGGGTCAGGGGGGTCGTGTAGCCCCGAGGTTAAAGCACTCGCTCGTCACGCTGAAGACCCAGGTTCGATTCCTGACATGGGTACAATATGTGAAGCCCATTTCTGGTGACCCCCGGCGTGATATTGCTGGAATATTGCTATAAGCAGGCGTAAAACCATACTCACTCACTCACTATTTCACACTTCCTCAGAGTTTGTAGCCAGTCCTGTGTGACCGAGACAGAAATGTACAATGTACAAATTTTCTTTCAGTTTGAAACGTAATTGAAACATGAAGTACTGGTTCAGAATTATTGCCCTCATATGCTTCTAGTCTATGAGGACTAACATAGTTGGATTTTTACTTGGTCTCAGCACAATTTAGTAGACTTGGGGTAGCGGACTAGCCTGAATTTTTGAAGTACCTGGTGACATGGGTACAATGTGTAAAGCCCATTTCTGGAGTCCCCAGGAGTGATATTGATGGAATATTGCTAAAAGCGGCGTCAAACCATATTCACTCACTCTTCAGGGACAACTTACCTGGTGGTCCATGACATGTTATGTGTCAAGCAGAAATGTCAGAAAGCTTGCTGGCATCTAAAGTGAGTGGTCCCGAGGGCTGGTCCATAATTTATACTCCACATACTCACACACACCCATCTTCATGAGGCAAGGGAGTTAACTGACCATTAAATTCCAGTTTCCACCCTTGCCGAACTAAGCTGGAATTTCTAAGCTCGATTGTAGCGCCACCAGTGGCTATTATGAGTTATGTCCCTTCTATTGACCAATCAAATTCCATCTCTCATATCACTTGCATTTGCTTCAAACAAACTGGCGGCCCCCAGTCAAGACAATCTGATCAATAATCAAGATCTATACTGTAATTAGACAGGTTTTACCTCATGAAGTGCATCAAATCACTTGAGTACCCTTATTAAACATGGCTAGTTGGCACTACACATGATTTGTAAACCCTGCAGTTGACCAAAATCTGCACGACAGTCTCCAAGTAGTTATGTTACGCTATTTTGTATTGGACTATGCATAGTCTCGTCAGGCCAGCCAAAAAAATCTGTTTCTGTCTCCAAAGAAACATCAGCACAGATATAAGAACAATACATATTAGATAGCCATATACATATACCAGAAACAGAAAATTACATTCGTTTGTCTCTGACGAGTCTGATTCACTGATGATGGGAGGTAACTCTGTCGAGGTTTTGACATTGTTGTTGACAGAGTTGTCCCCCCAGTCACAGGGAGCTGGAGACACGGTGTACATCTTCCTCTTTGCAGCCACCTGGTGGCTGGGGCTTGTCCTAGTTGTCTCATGTGATGACCGATCATTCTGATGCTTCACTAGGTCAGTATCTTTGTCTCCATAGAGTCTGTGTAGCACTCTGTCCTTGAAAACTGAAACATGGGCATGTCATGTCATAACAGAAAAAGAAATTCAAATAATTGAATATATACTCACCACCAAAAGAAACACGAACCATTGAAACATAGAGAGAATAATGTACGTTAAGAAGAGATGTTTCCCATGTGTACGATTTTAATGACAAAACAAACTATCAGTCAAGTGTTACCACAGTGTCTCTATTCTCATCACAATATGCTGTGACATGATTTTCAAACTTAACACACTAATCCTGCCCCGAGATAAATGGTGCATCTTGTCACATGTGATATTAACCAACATGTATGGTTTGTGTTTGTTTTGTCCGTGAGTATATTTGCAGACATTCTTTAGCCGAAAAATTTGTTTTTAAAAAACTACATCATTAAACAAATGGCAAATAGAACCTGTACCTATTCTAAGTTGACCTTAAAGTACCATGTATGGGACCATTTATTGGAACTTAATGTCCCCTCGGGCATTACCATGATTACCTTCCCTTATAGCTAAAATAGATAGAATTATCACAAAAAGGCTACATGTTATCAGAAATCTGTGGGCCACTGTAACTTGATAGCAGCCTGCATTTCCCTAATGACGGGCTGCTATCTGTTCTATTGTTATGTGACATCATTGGCGTCACATATCTCGTTTGTGGTGTCATCTTATATCATATTCTATGACGTTGCTATACGTAACTCGGTGACCTCCTTCGTCAGGCTATTTACGGCAGACCTCGAGCTTCTGTAAAATGATAATGCCCTGAAAAATATTGTTACCATTATATTAGTAACAGTAGTTAGCATGTATATACTCAAAGTGAGTGAAACCTTTGAACAGTATTTCAGTTATTAATCCGGAATCCAGATTTGCCACAACACCCATGCTCATGGCTGGGTTGTACCAAGTTGATGAAATCATGCATCACATCAGACTCTTTTCCCACATGAAGCAAACACGCTGTGACACGATTAACCACCCACAATGAATTAAATGTGTTGTCACTAGTTGACGAGAAGTAGTGAAGAAACTTGAGATGTTTCCAATAACCATGAATAATGGGGTGCAGTCTAAAACGGCACCTCAGCAAAACGTTTGCTGAGGTGCCGTTTTCGCTATAACCCTGAATAATGCGCGCGCCCAGATTGACAAATCGATCCTGGACTGGAAACGGTATCCCGAATAGCGATAGCATAAAAAACATCCCATAAAAGGTCTACTACCCATCATGATATTTTAACTGTTGGGAAATTTCCTTGGGCTAGCGGACTCTTTACCTGTTGTCTACCCCTGTAGTGTTGCTGTCGCCTAATGTTAACCCCTCACAACTGAGGGTTTACTAATATACACGTTTTTGTTACCGTAACAAAACTGTAAATGTTGTAGGAAATGTGTTCCGAGTAACAGACTGCACTTACATGAATCTTTGTCCATCTTCACGTCTGTTTATCGTACCATTGTTTGATAATAACAACTGCATGCCTGTTCTTAAAAAGCTAAACAATTCTAACGGAAGTGCTTTTATCAGTGTCACCTAGCGAGTGTAAACAAAGGGACATAACTCCAAAAAGAAGGCATTAGATGCTATTTAGGCGATTTAACGGATTAGTGATGTTGCTCAAAACAAAAGGAGTACGATGATTTATGCGACAATAAAAACATGCTAGACATTGTTGTTACGAAGTTGTGCCAAAGATAGCGTCTCTTATATCTCCCCTTTCTGCTGGCAGCCGACATCACAAGAATAACCGACCGTGTCCCCGCCCAAGGATAACATATACCACAACATGTAATAATGAAGCATGTAAATAAATTATATATACTACTACGTTTTTATCGTTATTAAAAACAGAGGTGCCGTTTTCGCCAAATGAGGTTTCGTTTTCGCCCGAGAAGTCGGTGACGTTTTGCTGAGGTGCCTTTTTGCATGCACCCTGTTCAATAAGTACTGATTAAAATACATTTCGACTCACCCAGCTTTTACAGATAAAGGTTTTGTACTTAGTACCATCCAAAGTATAATGAACAATTACTCAGTCAGATGATACCATGGTCGTATTTCAAAATATGTGTGTGTTTTAGGTATAACGTTCAAGGTAAATTTGCTTTAAAACTGTTGTTTTTCATGTTGTTGTTTTTGTTTTGTTGGTTTTTGTTTGTTTGTTGTTGTTGTTTGTTTTGTTTTTTTTGGGGGGGGGTGTTAAGGTTGTTGTTTTTATTGGTGTTTTGATTTTGGTGTTTTTTCTTCTTTTTTAAAATTATTTTTGGTGTTTGGTTGGTTGGTGTTTGGAAAGGGTGTCCAAAATTACGATTTACACAGCGGATAAACTTGGTAAGCCAACTCAACGGAATCCTTCCGCCAGCCCCCTTTCTATTTTAAGTTACGATTTATTATCAAATGTGTTTACAGAAATAGCTTAGCATTGAACAAATAAACCAGATATTGGCTGTGTGAAATATTTTAAGTGGGTTCGGACGGAGTCGTATCTTTATAAATTTATGAACACGTATAGTGTTATTATTTGTAAAATAGCTTGGACTTACACTGAAATTTACATCACTACAAAACGTCATCGTTACCTGACAATCTTGTACAAAAACGTGCAAGCATTTTGCACGGAACTTTCGCCAGTGTGTTATGGTGATAGAAGCCTATCCATTTGGGTCCTAGTCAATCAAAACATGGTCACTAGCAAAACAAGTACGTGAAACACGCAGGACGCGTGGCGTCAGATTACAGGACAATAGCCAATGCTTGAAATCACAATGTTTTCATTTCATCCAAATTTGTTATTTTGCCAAGTCTACTCAGACAACGAGTGAGAATAGTTTGTATCTTCAAGCGGTAATCCGTTTGAAATATTTTGTCTACCAATCACTTTCTGACGTTTAAGGACTACTTTAAAGCTATAAGGTGGCAGTACAGCTTTCGACACGCGCAGCATTGTACTGAAAATGAAAGATACCAGTTTGCCTGAAAAGGCGTTTGTTACGTGATGCCGAAAGTTGCAGAAGACGCAGACGACGGACCGACGGAGGACGGAACTGATATCGCGATGGTGTGTGATGTGATTTATCGCCAATCGCGATCCCTGAGTTTACCAAACAATACATATGACTACACCATCGAGAGTCTCAGTGGTGCAACCTTATCGAAAAAAGACGTGTCCCTGGGTCGTTTGTTAGGCTCGGGGGGGTTTGGGTCGGTGTATTTGGGGACGTACAAAAACAAAGAAGTTGCAGTCAAAATTCTCCACGCTGTAACCAAAAACCCCCAAGCTCAAATACAGAGCTTCAAGGCTGAGCTGGCGATTTTGAACTTCAAACATCCCCATATTATCAGGACCATCACTGCAACGACGCTGGAGGACTTCAACGACGGTGCATGGGTAGTGATGGAGTATGTGAGTGACCAGACACTACACGGTGTTATAAACAATATGGACCAGCAGTTGTGCATGGTACGGAGGCTGAAGTACGCCCTTCAGATCGCAAGTGCTGTCCAATACGCTCACGACAACTGCATCGTTCACTTGGACATTAAACCCGTGAACATTCTTCTCACCCAAGATGACGACTGCAAGTTGGGCGATTTTGGTTGTTGTCAAGAAGTGGAGTTCAATACGGGTCGAGTTAGTCCCACAAACCGATCTGCGTTAACCGGAACCTTTGCATACCGGGCACCTGAACTCCTCAAAGGAGGGCCGCCGTCTTTACAAGCTGACATTTATTCCTTTGGAGTGACATTGTGGCAGATGCTAAGTCGGGAAACTCCCTACGCTAATGAAAACCAGCACGTTGTCATCTTCGGTGTTGTCGCGTATGGACTCCGACCAAAACATCCCGTCATTGGAGATGAGCCGTTTGATAAACTGTATCAAGATCTGTACACCCAGTGCTGGGTTGCTGGCCCGGAGGATAGACCGACGTCCACTGATTTGATGGAAATCTTGGAAACTTGGAAACAATATCTCGACTAGGTTGGGTATTTTTCAATATGATTCATTTCACGTGACCTCCGTGCTCTGTTACCGAGATAGCATCGGAGATTGGCCAACATCATCAGAGGTTACCAACATCATCGCCCGTGATGTTTCGATTTGACTTGCTTGATATGAAATGAACAATAGTGATCCGTGTTTTAGGTTGAGATACTTATCACACTTTGTGTCCCCATGACATAATTTCTACATGGGTTTTCTATATGTTCCGTGGGTCATACTGACATATCTGATGACTGCTTTTGTTTTGATGGTGCCATGGGTATTATTTCAGCTGTTAATAAATGTGCACCCGACAGTCTATCGTGATATAAGGTGCTACTACTTTGCGATCGTGATTTATAAAAAGTGCTGAATATATTCATTAATTATGTTTATTTAATTTGTGCTACATTGTTCAAAGCATTTGTATCTTGTCTGCAGCGAACTTTAACGCTGCTCTATGTATATATATATATATGGCTCATACTTACTGAATTGATATCATAACGGGACTATCTTGTCTGTTGTTCACGCTCCGAACAAGTGCCGTAGACCTGTATATGAGATATATGATAAAAAAAAATATAAAAAAATATTATCATCTGTTATATCCATTATTTCAATGGAGACAAAAAATGTTATTGTTAATATTTTTTATACATTGTTATACATCGAATGTTGTGACGTCATGTATATACTTTGAATCTGTCCAAGTTTTATTTTGTCATGTTGTTGGTATGACATATACTGTACATTTACACAGCTGTATATATTATCAGATATTGGCGTTTTTGCCAACCTGAAAAATTGTACAATATCGAAACAGCACGTATTGTAAATCTATAACCTTTTGACCTACTAACTTGCTCTCACTGACCACAAGTTGTATATTTTGTAAAGTTTTTGTAAAAGGACTAATATCACGGAATTGGTCCTTTCTATGTTGTAATTAATTTGTACATATACACTTTCGCATTTTTACCTTTTTTACAATGAGACAAAATGCTTTTATTTTGTATTCGATATGTTAAATGACACTGCTTGTAAAATAGTTAAGGATGAAAGCAACTTGTAAATATTGAAATGGAAATCAGTGTCGATGTTCTGTGAAGTGTAACCCAATTTGTTCTTGCAATACACTTTCACTATTTTAGATTTCTAGGTTAAGCTTCCGAACGTTAACCCTGCCGCGAAGTTTGAAAAACAATATACTCCTGGTTAAAAGTATCATTTATTTAGCACAGGAAATTGAATTGAAGCAGGGTTACAGACGGAAATCTTTTCCGATTTAGACCTTATTTATAAATGTAATATTTTCCCATGTATGTGGTCTAAATAAGTTCTATGATCTACATGAGTTATCGCCCATGAGTTGTAAATACCAGTAAGACCCACCCGTCAATCAACTTTACGAAATAAACTATTGTTATCAACGACGTTGCCTTATTCATTTGACACTGACAAACTCGAACTAATATCGTGCAGCACGCGCGGCATCATATTACACGTACCCAAAGGAAGGGCTCTATATGCCATATCTTGCACGTGCAGCACATGTTTTTGCTAAACTTGGCTCCTATATACCCGTCATGGAGTGCACGTAATTTCCATGAAACAAATTACTTAAATACAAACTGTTTGCCTGACTTTATTATGTTTGCATCAGATTTGACATAAATTTAAAACATCAAATGTTGTATGTGAATGTGGGTAAAATTAATTTACTTCAACAAACAAATCAACATAATATCATGGCAGGCAATACTCCCCCTATGGATCCGCCACTGATCTTAATACACAAAGGGGCATTATTCCGTACTGATTGTTCGTTATAATACGGACAATTTAACCGGGGACGGTACCGTCCAGATTACAGAAATCATTAAGGACCATGTTTAAATAATTTCATGATATTTATTATATCTATTTCTTTACCAAAGAGTTGCCAATGTTGTTGACGTTAATGTTACTTAATGTACCTATATATAGTGAAACCGGTAGCGTAACGTATTGGTTGAACGGTGGGCTTGCCCATGATCTTGGTTCGAATTCCTAAGTGGGTACAAGACTTGATGTCGTGCCATCTGAACACGATCGGCATTTTCCGGTTCGATTACGGAATAGGGCGAGGTTGGCCGAAAGAATGCATTGCATTGTCACGCGCCGCGATTGATGGGAATATTGCTAAAAGCGGCTCAAATTCCAACTGACTCACTCAGTCAGGCACTTGACTTATGTGTTGGCCATTATCCCATTTTATTGCGCGATAGTTTTACTTTGATAATATTCCCACTGCCACGTCGTTTACATGAAGAACTGGGTATCCTGACTCAAAGTTCACTCATTAAACTCCTTCAAACACGTAATGGAATCAATACTGCAATTGTGATGGTTACAACTTCACCTCGCCTGCGGGAGAAGTTTGCCAATTCCGTCATCGCTGTATCGATCGCTTCTGACTCAGTATTCCAAGATGGCGGAAAACCTGGCATCAGACGATAGTTCTGAGGACGAAAATGTTATGTTTACCAATGAATCCGCTACAACAGATCTTATAATCATAGTCGAAGACAAGAAGATCTATGTTGAAAGAATCGTCTTGGCGCTATCCTCGCCTGTTTTCTGCCGCATGTTTCATTCAGACTTCAAAGAGAAATCTGCAATGGAGATTCCTCTCCCAGGCAAGAAATACAGAGACTTTGTCGAATTCCTTCTGTGTATCTACCCCTCGACGATGAAACAGATCGACAAGGACAACGTAGATGTCGTCCTGTCCCTGGCGGACGAGTACCAAATGGAACAGCTGAAGAAACGCTGCGAGACGTATCTGTTGTGCCGATGCGAGAAAAACAACCCCTCGAACAGCGACCTCGCTCATATACTCTACCTGGCAGACCGGTACTGTTTGAGAAAAGCGTTTGATAAATTTGCAAGCATGGCAGTTTACAGACCGACATACGTCATGAAGTCCTACTCTGATTTCAATTCACTGAGCGGGGATGCTAAAGCCGATATTTTGTTCCGACGTTTGGAGCTCATCGAACGCCCTTCAAGGGAAATTCTCCGTCATCTACCCGGATTAATCACAGCCATCCAGAACAGCTCGCTCGACTGTGGGCGGAACCACAAAGAACGGGTAGCAAGTGGCAGGTGCTTGGAGTGCATCACCTCCATCCTGAACGTCAACAGCATAGAGTGTTTGCGACAGCTTCGACAGTGTAAATCCCTCACTGACAAACTGGCATCTGCTTTCAAGGATGATAATACATACGTTGTCAAGAAGAAGGTGGCGATTGCTGACATGCCGAACGTGTATCGACCCCTGTAGTGATCATGATAATAATTATAATGGCTCGTGCTATCTCATGAGGTCACCTAGATTGTGGATTCTGTGCAAAACGAGCTTGTCTGGAAGCGTGAGAGACAATTGCTATCGATTTTCTGAAAGAAGGTTTATATATGTGTCGGTGTGTGAAGCTGTATGCAGCCTGGTTCCCTGGGTATGTTGCGCTGGTAGCGCCAGCGCAGCATACCCAGGGAACCAGGCTGAGCTGTATGTTGTTTCACCGATGTCCCAGAATGCAAAACGGTGATGTGCAAGAGACAAATGGCTACCTTATGAAACCGAAGTCGGAACATGCACTTGGTATTCCGATTGATTGACGCTTCTTCAGTGGTGCTGTTGATGGAGACTTGTAACCATACGACTGGTTTGGTTTTTTTTAACATCTATGATTGACAACTTATGTTTAGAGTGAGGATAAGATATGTAGTTCAAGCTAACGGTAACAAAAGACTTTAAGAACTGTATGAATATTGTATACTCTTCTACAAGAGAAACGTATTTACACACATCCTGGGAGTCGCCCTGATTATGTTACTGGACCCGTGAAGATCCGGGTAATAGTTGGTCTTCAGCAACCCATGCTTGCCGTAAAAGGCAACTATGCGACTATGCCTGTTGTAAGAGGCGACTAACGGGATCGGGTGGATAGGTTCGCTGACTTGGTTGATGCATGTCAACGTATCCCAATTACGTAGATCGATGGTCATGATATCAATCACTGGATTGTCTGATCCAGACTTGATTATTTGCAGACCGCCGTCATATAGATGGAATATTTGCTGAGTGCGGCGTTAAACAACAAACAAACAAACAAGATTACGTCACTGGGTTTGTCAGCACGATATACGTGCTCGTTGGTTTCGTGGGTCACTCACATAATTTTATTGAGCAAAGTATGCTGAAACGTAACGGTGTTCGCTCGTACAGACTCTTACCCAAGTAGTAATACAGTTATACTGTATTTTCGGCCACTTCTGACTAATTTTATCGAGCTTATACATGTTTCATATTTCATGTCGCTGCTTTTGAAACTTCCGATTTCAAGTGTTCAAGTGTTATATTAGATGACCACCCGTGTTTTGATCAGAACACAAAATGAACGTTCTCCGTACATAACGGTAATACGCTGTAGCAATGTCTACGCTGTGCGTGCGATGATGCGTTCGAAGGTGTATGTAAGAAATTTTGACTGAAAGAATCTGGAGAAACGGGTTTAAGGCAAAGGACTTTCCATGATTTTTGGGGACAACACTTCACATCAACTTCATAAGTTAACATGAAGGATCACATCTGCTTGAACTGCTTCTCCGTGGTCTAGTGGTAGAGCGTCCGCCCGTAGAGCGGAAGGTCCGGGGTTCGATCCCCGGCCGCGTCATACCAAAAGACGTTAAAAGATTGTACTTGTTGTTACCCTGTCTGGCGCTCGGCATTAGGGGGCTAAAACAAGGACTGGTCGGCTCGGAGTCGGTATACTGTGTCTGAGTGGGGTATTCATGATAAACTGCGGCATGGTATCTCAGTGGGCCAGCACTATAAATCGGCATCAGTCCGGACTAGTACAAGCACGCACACACACACACACACACACACACACACACACACACATGCACGTCGCTAGATCAGTGCAATAATCTTGGACGCGACGTTAAATTTCATTTCACCTCAACACCCGCTTGAAACGCGTTCGGTATTATAACTCCCAAATTACAATATCACATGATCGCTTTGTGAAACTTGTTGTATTAACTGATTATAGTCGTATTACAGTTGATTGTGGAGATGGGTTTTCATTGACGTTTTACAGACAACAAATAATGCATTTTTTTAAATTGAAATGATTTATTTTCACAACTTATATAAAATGAATATAGCTGCAAAAAACTGAAGACTTTGGATGTGTTTTTGACGTATTGAATCCAGTATTTTTGGATTTCTACGTTCGCATTTAAAACGTTCACAAACATTTTCTTTAGACCATGTGAATATGTGTGCTTCCATCTATGACAGTCCAGGGTATTTAGTATGGGGGTATATTTAAAGATATATCATTTGTGAAACTGTTCTTTCATTTTTCTATTTCAACCCCATACCTCAAACGTAACCTTTTTTATGATTAATATTGTGTTCATTTTGTTGAAATTACTTGCTGAAACACATCTGAACAGGAAATTCTGAGGCACAAGAGCCCAATTTCCTAAGCGGCCGCCAAACGCTGTGCGATGTGTCCGAAATCTATGACCGCGTGTTGGAATCCCAGATGCGTCCTGACATCTATAGCTTAGTCAGCGCCATACCCGTGCTCGTGGCGTTCATAGATAAGCTAAAGGTCTAAGCTCTGCGTCACTTTGGGTTTTCCTCCCACAACAAACTGCCCCCTCGTTACAACTGAAACTCTGCTCAAAGCAACGCGCGGACTCCCGTACATGAAACAACTGTACTGGAGAACATGGCCGAATCGCTGTTCATGATTGCAGTCACACACGCACCTGTTACAGGCTCGACTATTTACATGTCTACCATATATAGCTGGCTTACTCCTGACTGTGGCGTTAAACAACATTCACTCACTGTTGGCCAGGATGAACAATTGGTCTCCAGCAGTGTATGCTGGTCGTGAGAGGCGACCAAATGGATCGTGTAGTCAGACGCGGTGCCTTGGTTGATTGTGTGTCGTGGGGGGGGGGGGGAGAGAATGCTCACAATATTGATCATTGGACTGTCTGGCCCATACTTGATTGGTTACAGGCCGCTGTCATAAAACTGGAATATTGCTGATTGTGGCATTAAACAACAAACAAATATTATGCGTGGTCTCGCCTACATGCTTTAGAATGTTGATACTGTTACAGTAGACTAGGCATTTGTATTAGTCCCAATAATACGTTTTACCATTTATACCAAAAACATGCATGGTTTTGCACACTTGGCGTATTGGCATCATAGCATTCACACTTTTGTTGTGACATAACTAGTAAAGTGACATGACAACCATTTTGTTATTGTTAATTTTTTAAAATGGTTAAAAAATACTGAAATAATATATTTTGGCCTTACAAACAAACAACATGGTGTGGGTGGGGGGTTCATTTCCCGAAAATCAATTTATCTTTAATTTTCCACACAGTATTTCAAGATAGTTCAAGACAGTTTTCAACTTAATAATTTGAATTTTAAGACAGCTACTTGTTTTTTTAATATCAATTTTCACAATATTAAAAAAGTATCCCTGCCTAATCATAAATGGGGTTCCTACCCCGCTTTATAGGCAGACACGAGATTAACCTGCACGGTGGCTAAGGCCGATCACTTCCTGTTGTAGTCATGTGTTTAATACCTGTATTCATCAGGCCCTGTGTTTGTATCTTATAGATACATATGATGTGTTCACTGAAATTCAAATGAATTTTTCCTGTTGTGCTAGTTTTGTCATTATGGGACGATTTACTGTGCCCTGTAGTAATTCCTTGGCAATATATTACGACTGTATATGCATGCAAATTTCAGGAATCCCACGAACACTGCGTGTTTTAAGTGTTGTTTGTCACATAACAAGCATATTGTGATAAGTAGTGGACGCTATAAATGTGATATTTGTCGACACGGACTAGTTGCATTGGTACTTTGTGTAACCGTTGAATGTGGACCTCCAATGTCATTCAACTTTTAGGCCACACTTTTTTAATCTTACGTTTCACGGAACTATTCCAGATTTGCCACACAGGGTCGGTCGAAATAAAAAAAATTATTTATTTATTTATTTATTTATTTATTTATTTATTTACTGTGGAGTTTCAGATGGCCTCTTGAATCACGGATTGTGATGTATACATAGAATTTATATAAAACATTTTATGTTGTAAAAGAGGGTCTATATTACTAGCAGAGACATAATAAAAATTATTTTTTTATGTTTAATTTATTTCGTAGACCGGCTGCTTTTCATTAGGGGCGGCTGGCCCGTGAAACGAAAAATAAAAATTATGTGGTCCTATTATTTGTGTGTTGGTGTACTGCGGCGTGATTGAGTGTGAAGCTTCTTTGCCCGATGGCGTCGATCGTTGCGGATTCAGCCAATCACTGATTTGCCTTCCTCCTACTATTATTTACAGTCCGCTTACACACAACTTGATAACATGTATTACTGTGGCATTGTACACCATTCGCTAATCATCCCAAAGATAAATATGGCACATTGCGAGTAGATTCTCAGTGCATGTGCAAAACGTGCACCTTTTCGCCGTCTCCCGATACTTGCTGAATAAATTAATTTCATGAGTGAAGTATAAAGGAGAATAGTTTAAATGAAACCGATTTTGGTGAAGAATGTACCATAACATGATGACATTAATGGAAACTCCTATTCCTGACACGGGTGTCTACTAGATAAATGTAGTGCACGTGTCGACGTTCCAGCGTTTGGACACACCCGTTTCGATAATGTACTCGACTTACCGAGTTCTTGGCCACTTTAAAAAAGTTCTTGTTCGTGACATTTTTTTCAAAACTGAATGGGTTCGTACAGGGATGACCTTATTTTTTAATTTTAAATCGTAACTAGGTCACAGGTCTATATGAAGGTAAATTATATAATAGTGTACTACTTGACCTCTTTCCTGGCGCTTCGAATTATGAAGAGACGGACCAGAAACTTGGTTCCTGTGCGAGTCCAATACACCCTGGTGTGAGAAAATAGTTAGAATTTGAATCGCAATAGTTGTTTCTTAACAGTACACACAAATGAAATATAAATGGGTTGGGGAAAAGTTTAGGGGGCGCGGGACCTAAAAAAAGGGACTCTTTCTAACAAGCGTATCACGTTTTCCATGAAATCCAAATTTTCTTTCACCCAAGAAAACCCACATCACCTAAACTGTCAACCCCATCTTTCACAATAAGTAAAGGTCACAACTTAAACGCATGTGTCAATTTTCCTATTGGAACTCGTTTCCACCTTTGCTCTGCTTTTTTCTGGTGATTAACTCTGATGATTGTTACTGATGGTCAGAGTCGGAGAACAGTGCGATGAATGCGGTTTTCCTGTTTGCATGTCCTTTAACATTGTACATTGTGTAAACGTGCCCTGCTGCGTGCTTTACTCCACAATGCCAGTTATATTTTGTAATGCTTTTCACCAGAGGCCAAATATTGTACAATCCTCCTGGTCTGTTTCCACATAATCAAATGTGAAATTTGAAAGCGAAATAAATCAATAAATATGTTCCAAGATTTATTGTACTTTGTTCTGGAAACAAGGGGTTAGCACCTTGTATTTCTAAATGCCATTTGGGGATTGATTGGACAAAATAATTGGTAAGTGAGGAGACCTACGCTCAGCCATAGACTGGCTGTAGGGGATGCTGACGGACCAGAATGAGTGGGTAAGGTGTATGTCTTGTTCTCCCAGATATACTATCAGGTGTTGCCGAGATGTGAGTGAGTATGGTTTTGCGCAGCTTTTGCAATATTTCATCGATATCATGGGAGGGAAACATCAGAAATAGGCTTCACACATTGTACCAATGTGGGGAATCGATGAGCGAACCAGTGAGGCTCTGGTATTTGGCTGATTGTGGGTCAATGCAACCTAATGGCGTGGATCGCTAATCATGGTCTCAGTCACTGGTTTGGTGACTATGCTTGTCGTAGGAGGCGACTAATGGGATCGAGATGTTAGGCTCGCTGACTTGGTTGATGCATGTCATGGTATCCAAATTGCGTGGATCGATACACATGATGTGAGTCACTGGATTGTCTGGTCCAGACTGATTCTATAAAGACCAACGTCATATAACTGGAATACGCTGAGTACGGGGTTAAACAACGAACAAACACAACAGAGATATCAGCGCTATGACAATCGTAAGTCAATGTCAGTAAGTGTCTTTGACTAAGTGCGTGTCTATTTCGACTACAGCAACTTCCGATAATAGTGCACTTCCTGGATTGGAGAGATGCACCACCATAAAGTGAGTGAGTGAGTGACTTGGGTTATATCACAGCCTGACAGCTTAATGTGTGAGGGAAGCCCAAAGTGATGCAGGTCTTAGATATCTACCACTTTGGTGAAACCCACCAGCACCAGTATGGTGCTGACAAACCTAGACAAACCTTGAAACATAATCTAAGACTAAGACAAATAAACAAATTAACCACATGGTACCGGTAGAAATTTATTCTGCTGACATACATGTTATCATACACTAACAACCAAGATATTCTGTATTGTGAAGCTGATATGAACATCTGCCTTGCATCCAGTTACCACCCATACAATAAAAGACACATGACTGTGCTAAATACATACATATTAGTTTATCTAAACTGTTACATATTGCCATATATATATTTATACCTAGAGATCTCTGTATAAAGTTATCTATAGCTACAGCTATGTCAAAAATGAGTTGCTGATCTATGTGATTAGGAATGCGAGTCCTTAATTTCTATGTAAAGGGATGCTCTAAATTCAACACTTATCAACCGTGAACAATTCAAATCCCTCCTGTTCATGATCCCCAATAAATAAAATGTTCATGCAAAGACACACGATTTAATAAACCCATAAATTGTAGGACCAATTTCATTAAAAATGATTAATCACTTGTAAAGTGAATCAGGTCTTACCTTACTTTATCAATATCATATTGAGGACTGTACGCATTGTACTCATTCACTTCTAATCAATCCCTTAACACCATTAGACAAATCAATACTGAATTATGTAAAAAAACGAAAATGCTTGACACAAACTTCTATCCAGTGAAGATGGACAAGGGGAGATAACTATGGCAAAGACCACAATCTCCAGGTCTCCTGAGGTAATTAAGTACAGTACATAGGGCATACATGTAAGCACTGACTGTGCTTGCAATCACTGGTGTGTAGCAGAAATGCGATGACATGGTGAGAAAGGTATGTGACCTTTACTTTGTCAATTGGTAACCCTTGGTGGAGTGTCCCGCAAATCGAAATGTGCATAATCGGGTCACAAAGTAACTTGCAACTAATCACCAATTTACAGATAAATTTAGCGAATGAGTACGGTAGTGCACATACCCCATCACGAGGCTATGTAATAGTTCAAAACTATACTTGTACATACACATCAGCACTTTCTGTCACCCAGAGACCATGTTACAAAAGTGAATTGCAGATTAATGTTTACCATTTGTTTTCATGTAAAAATGAGCTCAAAGTACTTTCATCAATTTATTATGGTCTTATTGCATATTTGACAAGTTTGGGATGGGACACCATATTACTCTTTACTGATGTACCCAAGGAGTTAGGAAGAAGAAATTACAGGATATTTTCCCCTTACATTTACCTTTGTCTTGCACACAGATGAAACTCATTATCATCATATATTAGCTATACCAAGCACACAGTAGCCACCGTCTACCAATACCAATGTTAGGTCACAATGCAGTATCTCCTTTCATGCTTGGATGACAGGGCTCTGAATACAAACCACACACTATTACACATGGTATTCAGAGTTATGTTAAATGGAATGATAGAACAGGAAATGCACCATGACTGAACTAAAATGCTTAAATTTATAGCTTTTAAAAGTTATCATTAGTTTCTATTGTATCTTCATATTTGATAATATGGAGACAATGGAGGTTAAGTTTTCTTAAGCCGAGAGTTTGAGCTGGGATAGTTCCGGCCGAATGAAACATAACGAGAGAGATTTATAGCCAATACAAATAAAGAATACTGGAAAAGAAAATAATACTTTGCAATATCTCCAATGCAACTTACACACTTGGATCAGGCAAACCAGGTTATTTTGTAAATAAGACTAAAAAGGTTGAGGAAATGATGAACATAGCCCGCTAACAGGGGTGATAATACAACCATGGCGTAAACACTGTGACACACTTCACAGTACAGAACTTGTATTGTATAACATTTCATATCACAATGCTAATATTGAGATACCTTTCATATCACAATGCTAATATTGAGATACCTTTCATATCACAATGCTAATATTGTGATACATTACTTACAATGATGAATACTTCATGCTTGTGAAACATTTCTTATAATTATACCAGCCATGTATCAATTCATGACATAATTCTGTGTCAGTTTTCAAAAAGTTAGTAAGCTCTGCAAAAATGTAGAAATACCTTACCAACCGCCACGAAACAAACAGCTGAATCTGAGTGTGTAATGAAATAAGAAGCGATTCACGAGGAGGTGTAATGTGTTACCCAAATAACACATAAAACACTGATACAGTTCATATCACATCACTAATATTGCTTCAGCTTCCATTGTAGCTACATTTCATATTGCACCTCATGTAATGTAATTATTTCTCGTTCCTGGTAACATGTTCTGCAGCCTTCATGTATTATCAAGCCCCTAACAAACAAGACTTAAGTTAAAAACACATAAAATAAATCAATTACTGATAAAATAAAAAAACAGGTCTACATAATTCTAGTAATTATTTCATTTCCATCTTAATAAGGCAAGGGAGTTAATGGACTTTAAAAACTTGCCTCAGGAAGATAATTTCTTTCATTAAATAATGTTCAGCCCATATATATGTTTATCAATGCTCATTAGATTCTACAAATAAATAGATCATAACTTAATTTTGTGGTTTTGCTTATAAATGCAAAATAAACAAATATTTAGGTTTTAGTAGTTTCCCCAACAAAAACAACAAATAAATGATATAAAATTCAAGAAACAAAGGATATGTATAGGCAAATAATAAGTGACAAAATTGTGAGTACTTGTGTAATATGGCACACGTTGCTGTGTGAGAGTAAGGAATGGCACATTGACGGTAATATAACAAATATCAATGTTAGTTGCTAATTGTCACAAAAGGACAACAAAAAAGTCAGCAAAACTAGAAATTAGACATAGTATTTCTTGAAGGGGCATATGAGTATAAACACAAAAACATAAGTTTACTGCTACTACCATTGTAACAGTGAGACAAAATGGATGGCAAATGTCACAAATTGATCATCTTAAAGATCGTGATGACAGGTTAATACTCTCAACTCAGGTTTAATTTGTTGACAGAATATTTTTATGGTATTCTGACGAGACAAAGAACCATTTCTCACTTAGGCCAGTATATTTTTAATTTGTTGGATCACAGATATAAATTTTTTCCACAAACTTACAATCTTTAGTGCCATTGTCCACTGGAAGCTTTGTTTTTTTTGTCATTTTTTCAAGGAAGACAAAGTCTGTGTATCAAGGACAAGGGACATAACTCTAAGATTTATTATGCAAGGAATTTCGCTCCAACTCATAAACTGAATTGCAAAATATTAATGTCAAATTGAGCATCATAAGTTTCATCGAAGATTTGTTTTTAAACATAGTAATGTCCTTCTCAGCGAAAAAAATACATGTAAGTGTAAATTTGGGAGAAAAATATATCCAGTATTGAAGAAGACAGGGTCAGTAGATCCATGGTTCAACAAATAATAAAAATGGCCTTACAGTACAAAGTACTGCTTTGAACAATATTTCGGTAATATCAAGGCATGTATGTTCAATGTGGAAGGAAAGCCCATGAATGGTGCTGACAAATCAATGCGCAATATCAGAACAAATACGATCTGCTGATCCAGCAACCAATAAGGGGCGCAACTGTGCACAGTGAATTGGGGCACCCTTATATCATTGTAGGCCAATAGACCATACTGTAAACATTTATTCAAGGGTTCACGGTAATACCATTCAGCCAGTGATTAAGCATAACAGTGTTGCTGTCAGTAAGCCAAGAAGGCTTGAGCAAGCATCAATGACCTGGATACCAAGATGAGCTAACTGTGCCCAAGTGATGTTCTTGTTGATACATATGGCTAATTCTGTTACAAAGAGTTTTGTAATTATGCAATAATGTACTTAAAACAGTATTGCATTTGTATTATGGCGTGTCAGCTTCACATTGAAGGAAGGCCCGAAGTGATTCAGATTGAAGATGTTCACCACTTTGGTGAAAGCCTTGAGCACAGGTACGGTGCTGACAAGCCTAGAAACAGGGCATCAGAGATTCCAACCCATGATAATAGATTTCAGGCATGCTCAACGCATGTAACTCTGCACAGCAAGTTGTGGCATCTCAGACAACTGTGCCCCCATAATGAAGTGATGTTGCAGGTTCTCTGTTTAGTTCATTGTAGGATTCTTCTCAAACATCATTATTCATCAGTACTTCCTATCAATTTGAAAGATTGTGAAAGAGTTGTACACTGAGATCGCAAACTGTTACATTTACTTCATCAAGGCTATCATAAAACGTTACTGTTATTTTGCCAAGGTTGTAATTTCATCAAAGCTATCACATACTTTGCATTACTTCATCAAAGCTATCACATACATACTGTTAAAATTACCCATGGTTCGAAATATGGGGGCCATGGACCCTTGATGCTTGCTCTATAGTACTTGAATCCAGACTCCTAAATGTGTAGCATTTAACATCAAGAGTCTTAAGAAGGGCCCCTTGACTTTCCATCTTAATTTCACTGCATACCTCATCGAAGGCGTCTTGCAATGAAGTCCACATTTGTTCAGCCCGTACAAGAGACAGTTGAAAGTTAAAATCTGATCCACACTAAAACCGACAACCCAAAAGAGCAACCATAAACTGTTTCCCGAAATGCACACTAACTAACTGTTACACTAAAATATATAAGAACCCTAAAAACAACGTTCTGTCAAAGAAGAAATAGAGAAACCATGATGCACAACCAAAGTGCCAACGACTCCTGATACACATCACCTGAATGTAACAAGCTGCCTAACAGTGATATCCCACACAATCTTCCTCATCTTATCCCAGTTATTGTTGATAATAATTGAGCTAAAACAGACCCTAGCTGTTGTAACAACTGCATCTTGACTTCAGATATATTTACAATGGAGGTAATAAGTTTATGCATCGTTTGGTCGGTTCTGGAACAACGCATCGATGACGCTTTCATCGGCCAGTGTCGATGTGTCACCAAGCTGGCGGTCACCGACTGCAGTTTTCCGCAAGATACGCCTCATGATTTTCCCTGATCGAGTTTTGGGCAAAGCTGGAGCATTTTGGATGAAGTCAGGTTGAGCAAATGGTCCGATCTTTGCACGAACTGAAATGAATATACCGATTAAATTGAATAAAACTACTAAATGACCTGTGAAGATACGGGTTAGAATAGGTCTTCACGAACCCATGTTTGCCATTAAAGAAGACTATGCTAGTCGTAAGAGGCAACTTATGGGATCGGGTGGTCACACTCGTTGAATTGGTTGATGCATGTCATCAGATCCCATTTGTGTAGATCCAGACTTGATTATTTACAGACCGCCAGCATATTGCTGGAGTATTACTGAGTGCAGCGTTAACACTGACTGACTGACTGACTGAGTATGGTTTTACGCCGCTTTTAGCAATATTCCAGCAATATCACGGCGGGGGACACCAGAAATGGGTTTCACACATTGTACCCATGTCGGGAATCGAACCCGGGTATTCGGCGTGACGAGCGAACGCTTTAACCACCAGGCTACCCGACCGCCCCTCAGTGTTAACAACATACAAACAAACAAAAACTACAAAATTAACAAGACATTGTTATTCTGAATATATAACAAGATTAAGTCCTTATAATCTGTATAAACTTCCTGAATATATCTCCTTGATATATTTAAGAACTGACTTCAACATTTTGTGTTTAAGGAGGGATAAACATAAAAAATGGTGTAACTGATGGTGTACACAGAGTTTTTTATGTTTATTTGAGCACTGACTTAAATATATTTTGCATTTTTATTTTTGTAACGTAACACAAAACCTTATTGAACATGATTGAAGTAAATTCTTGAATAAGTAAGTCAACAATAATAACTTCACCGACTGCTTATTTAATCATTGGGGAGAATGAGAGACTTAATAAGTGAAAAACATTCAGTGCAATAACACAGTGCAATAACACAACCCATGCCCCACCCGCCCTATTATCAGCCAATCAGCAGTCTGGTCGTGGGCGGGGTCTATAGTTTACAAGGGTTATGGGAACATTGCTTGGTTGGCCAATCAAATGCCATGGCATCACTTGCAATTTATTTATTCCTATTTAAAACTCATTCACACTTACCAATATTCTTCAGTTCAGTTGTAAGATCAGAGGTGAATTCAAATCCCTGAAACAAACATTTATGACCGTGATAACGTGAATACAATTCAGTTGCAACCATGGTCCATTAACATGTTTAAGAAACTACTTGAAAATCCATTAAAGCTGTTTGCTCTCAAAGACAATGAGTTAATTTGGCTACTTTAACCACAGACTGAAAATAACAATTGTCTACACTGTACTCTACAGTACAATACAGCCATGTGATTCGGAAACTCAGTTGATACTTTTAACGCCGAGTTTCTATTTCGACAACAGCAACTTCCGATAATACCCGGTACAAGTGGTGATGCAATGATATAAATAGAACCAGGATTTTAAGGTGTAATAATGTAACCCTCTTTTCTGTCCATGAAAATTTAGTTTGTGATTCTTGATCGTAGATTGGCATATTATCTGTGTGTTGAGTTTGGTGAAGAAACAAGCGTATAGTCGACAAAGTCATCTATATCCCCCGCCCATTTTAACACGTTATGGTCTCAAACCAGGTAACTGACCCAACATTTCTCTTAGCCCATGTCAAAATAGCTGCAATGAAAATTCTAAAAAAAACATTTCTAAAACTCCTAAAAATATCAAATGGCACCAGCTCAGTATGTGTTTTATATATAGACATGCAATGTTTGGCCAGGAAATAAGTAAACCCATCCTATATCAAAACTTAAATTCAACTTGATGTCATGGAAACATAAGAAATACAAATTTCTAAAAGTGCTAAATATCAAAAGGCACCAGTTCAGTATATGCCTGGTAGACATTCAAAGACATTAAAGAAATATAGTACGTTTTTCAAGATCTGCTCCGGAAACGAGGACTACCGCCATTTTCAGGCTAAATCAAAGTCGTTGCCATGGAAACTCGAAAAATTACTTTTAAAAAAAATCCCAAACTATCAAAAGGCACCAGTTCACCACTAGACCTGTGAATGTACAAAATATGGTGAAGAAAAATGCTACGTTTTTCAAGATCTGCTCCGGAAACGAGGACCACCACCATTTTCAGTCTAAATCAAAGTCGTTGCCATGGAAACTCGAAAAAATTTAAAAAAATAAAATCCAAAACTATCAAAAGGCACCAGTTCACCACTAGATCTATCTATGTGCCAAGTTTGGTGAAGAAATATGGTACGGTTTTCAAGATCTGCTCCGGAAAGGAAATGTGATGGACGGAAGGACGGCCGGACGGACGGACAGCACCCATTCCTATATCCCCCTTCCACTTCATGGCGGGGGATAATTAAGGAAGATATCTATTCAAGCCATAAATTTGTAACAAATATGAATTATTTTGGACAGTTGGCAGCTACTGTATAGAGTACAGGGCTTGTGTGTCGACTCACCTGCTTGAGTGTGACGAAGCAATAAATGCACTCTCCCTTGATCTTGTGTGGGTGTGAGACAGAAGCTGCCTCAGTCACAGCCTTGTGCTCAATGAGGGCCGATTCTACCTCCGCTGTGCTCAACAGGTGCCCCGACACATTCACCATGTCATCAATACGTCCTGTGATCCAGATGTATCCATCCTCATCTCTGCGTGCACCTGAAACGCACAGAGTATCAGTCAGCAAATTACACCTTCTCCCGTTCACCAAGTCTAAGGTCAAAATAAAGTTGTAAACAATTATATATATTTTCAAGAAAACCATTTCATTTGTTTGTTTTATGTTAAATGTTGCACTTAGAAATATTCCAACTACCGTATTCAACGTAATAAGCACCCAGGGCGCTCTCAAAATTAGAAATAGGGGGCTCTTATTAGAATATTATTTTGGTGAAAAAAAGGGGGCTCTTATTAGAATATTATTTTGGTGAAAGAAACAGAGTTGAAAGATAAATTTCATGGTCTATGCTGACAGCCTGAAATGCTTATGTACGACAGATATATGTTTCCAGAAAATAATTGCCAATAATAAAGGGTGCATATGACACACAAGTACGTATTATACGCGAATAGGGGAAGGAAGCGGTGTGTATTATATGCGAATAGGGGTCGGAAGGGATGTTAACTGGGATTGTTCACTAGCCAATATATTAGCAAATCTCAACGTGGGTGCTTATTAAAGCGGGGTGCTTATTACGACGAATACGGTATATGACAGCGGTGTATAAATAATTGCGTCTGGACTTCACAATCCAGTGATTGATATCATTGGCATCGATCTACGCATTTGAGATATGATGACAAGCACAGATTCCACTAGTCGCCTCCACTTGACCAATTCTAACCCAGATCTTCATGGGTCAAAATCCATTTGAAATCTACTAATGTTTTACTATTATAGAAAGTAGCATTTGCCTTAAAAAGGTGGGAGGGAGTATTTCTGATGTAACCATTTTAACAGAGGTGGTATTCTTACAATTATTAAAAATGACAACTATTGTTTGATAATTCTTACGATTCCTCTACCTCTATCACATCATTGCCAGCATGTACCAGAGGGAAGGTGGGTTCTGCTTCTAGTACAAGACCTGTATAGTTGATAGCAAATCCAATGATGTCATAGAGGATTCGTAAGAATTAAAAGACTTCTCCACAGTATTATTTAATTTAGCATAATTTCATTTTGGTGACTGTACTTATAATTGATGTGTGTGCAAATCCTATTTTTTTGCAATAATCAACCCAAACTACTACTCACCATCTCCAGTGCAGTAGTACCCGGGAAACTTCTTGAAGTAGGTGGTCTCAAACCTCTCTTGGTCTCCGTACACAGTTCTCATGATGCTGGGCCATGGCTGCTTGAAGACCTGTAAACAATTGCGCTTGTATGTTGAGCTCAATTCAAGCACTTAAAATAGCAAGCGATCTGTCTGTTAGTGTAACGCCACACTGAGCAATATTCCAGCTGTAAGACATTGCCATGTCAAAAATCAAGCCTGGACCAGACAGCCAGTGATTGATATTATGAGCTAAATCCCTTGCCATCAGGATATGATCAACTTGGCTGAATCTGTCTACTCGATCCATTAAGTCACAAGCATCGATAACAGCAGACCAATCTTAATCAATACTAAAACTTGTTCAGCTGGTCAATTTCATTGGAAACGGTACAGTCGGGAATGACAGGGTTTGGCGAATACAAAAATTCCACCTACCAAATATCCTTCAGCGGCGCCTGTGAGTTCCTTTCCCTCGTCACTCACAATGGCTGGAACTACACCGAAGAAAGGGAATGTCTGCCAAAGAAACATGGAAGTTATATCTGGTCCTTTACAATCTTCCAAGATATTTATCTGTCTAAATATTAATAACACATAACCCATTCCCAATGCCCACGAGTTTCAGCAAGTGGTATGTCAGAGACAATGATGACGTCGTCATACTTCTTGTACAAACACTGGAGGTGGAACAATACTAAACATGGTTCAAGCTGAATCAGTTCCAAAATAAGTTATATATTTTTACATGTAATATTTTGTAAATATTTTTGTGTCATTTGTCTTGAAACGGCCGGTGATCAAAGAACCAACCTTCTGCACTTCAGGTAGACGCCTCATTTCCACTACACTACGGAGGTTGTCCTCTAACAAAGGGTAAGGGACTAGATCTGTTCACTGAAAACCTGAAAGACTGACACAAACATGAGGGAAAACTGAGTCTACTCACAGCTGATCCTGGTTTAGTGGTCGTGGCACCAGGAAGTGGGGTGATCACATGACCTCCCTGAAACCGAAATATCACATGACATCACAGAGAAACACTTACATCAACCCACCAACATCTAGCTAATAATACCAGTGAATAGTTCAACATAGCTGAATATCTATATAGTTGACCCTAAGCTCGCTATGCATTCCATGCAAAAAGAGAAAGTGGCATAACAGACTTGTATTGAAAGTATCCACCTGCATCTTCACAAACTCAACTGACTGATGACACAGCAAGGCTCCGAGTCTAAAACTGTTCTCAACTCGTGTTAATATATTTGATATCAAAAGACACTCGAGTGTGATTCTCAATTTGTCATCACTTTCAGATGTGCTTCTGTCATGTCTCGTTCTGTTTTGTTCTGATGGATATGTGCTGGAACAGAAATATTTCAGCAATATTTCAGCAATATCCAAGCTATATGACAGCGGTCTGTAAATATCGAGTCTGGACCAGACAATCCTGAGATTGACATCATGAGCATCGATCCATGCAATTGGGGGGATCAGATGACATGCATCAACCAAGTCAGCGAGCCTGACCAACTGATCCCGTTAGTTGCCTCTAATGACAAGCATGGGTTGCTGAAGCCATATTCCAACCCGGATCTTCACGGGCCAGTTCTCATGTTGTTCTGCTGCACTGTATTGATGACCCAACAGTTGACCTACCGTCTCAGTCTGCCAGAAGGTGTCTACTATTGCACAGCGGCTGTTGCCCACCACCTTGTGATACCACAGCCAGGCCTCGGGGTTGATGGGTTCTCCTACAGTCCCCAAGATCTTCAGGGACTTCCGGGAGTATCTACAAAATTATACTGAACAATACAGACTGAACACATTTGAATACAGAATCAGATAACCTAATATGTCTTTTTTTACTGGGGGAACAGGTGGCCTCATCATCAAAGGGGCAAGACCAGAAACCTGACCTTGAGGTCAAAAATTGGTTTGCCCCGATTATGCTCCTAGGTTGGTCAGCACCATACTCTTGCTCGTGTGTCAGCAATGTGGAAAACATCCAAGACCTAAATTAGTTGGGGCTTTCCTCCCAAACATGCCATGATATAAATGGAATACTGTCCAAAGTGGCAATAAACCAACTCACTCACTCACTCACTATTTCCTATTGTTATCATCCAAGGTATTGCATACACAATATTCCTCCTTTACCCAGACTGTTTTATAGTAATATGTAGTAAGGACATGACACTCTTCCCTAACTAACCAGCCAATAAAATGACATGTTATATTCAGGGAATGAGTGACTGAATATTGTGATTCAGCAATATTCCACCTACCGTATTCAACGTTATAAGCGCCCCGTTCTAATAAGCACCCACGGCGATATTTGCTAATATATTGGCTAGTGAACAATCCCAATTAGCACCCTTCCTACTGACCAATGTTCACAAACTTATTTATTCGTGCATAATACGCACTCGTGTGTTATATGCACCCTTAAGTACGGGCAATTAAATTCTGAAAAAATATATCTGTCGTGTATAATATGCACAGACTTTTCTTTTGTATCATTTCAGGCTGTAAGCATAAACCACAAAATGTACGATCTTTCAACTCTTTCACCAAAATTATATTCTTATAAGAGCCCCCTATTTCTAATTTTGAGAGCGCCCAGAGAGCTTATTTCGTCGAATACGTTATGTCAAAAAGGCTAGGAAAACTCAGGCCAGACAGGCAATCTGGTGGTTGACAGCATGAACACCGATCCAAGTCAGTGAGTTAAGAACCACACTGGAAACCATGTCACACACTGCAACCACTCAATCCTTAATCGGCGCCTGGAGGCTTTCTCTTCCCAGTAAGCACTTCCACCACTTGGCTGTCTCACGAGCCCAGCCCACAACACAATAAGCAAGTGAGGATAAGATTGTAGTTACTTTGTGACAAAGCTGTCCCCGAACTTCATGAGTGACCTGATGGCTGTGGGGGCAGTGTAGAACTTGGTCACCTTGTACTTGTCTACGACATCCCACAGTCGTCCGGCGTCGGGGTACATCGGTGTTCCCTCAAACTGTGGCACACATACAGACAGATGTCAACTGGATTTGGCATACATGATTCTCTTACCAGTCCTAATGTAAACTTGAAGCCATAAACAACTTGGCCGCAAAACAGCATTACGCCAATATCAATACATTAAGACTTTTATATCTTCAACATTATGCAAAGAACCCCTTACTCTCCTGCTTAATTTCTTTATACATGGCAGTGGTGCAGGCAGAATTCCTTTTGGCACTATTTCAGGGATATAACTAAGATAATAAGCAACGTGCATGCACCAAACCAAACAGGTAAAAAAAATAATTCCCAAATCCATAGCTTCTGAAATTCAGAGCTATCTGAACTATTCTAATATCACATTCAAAGCACTAATGTAAAACTAAATACAATTATGGTCAGAGTCTGAAATAACTGGCTGCCCATCTGCCCGTGGCTGGTAACTTTTCTGAATCAAGGCGCAATTTTTCAATATTTATAATGTCTGAATGCAGGCAGGTAACTTTGATTGATTGATTGATTGAGTGAGTGAGTGAGTGAGTGAGTGAGTGAGTGAGTGAGTGAGTGAGTGAGTGAGTGAGTGAGTGAGTGAGTGAGTGAGTGAGTGAGTGAGTGAGTGAGTGAGTGAGTGAGTGAGTGAGTGAGTGAGTGAGTGAGTGAGTGAGTGAGTGAGTGAGTGAGTGAGTGAGTGAGTGAGTGAGTGAGTGAGTGAGTGAGTGAGTGAGTGAGTGAGTGAGTGAGTGAGTGAGTGAGTGAGTGAGTGAGTGAGTGAGTGAGTGAGTGAGTGAGTGAGTGAGTGAGTGAGTGAGTGAGTGAGTGAGTGAGTGAGTGAGTGAGTGAGTGAGTGAGTGAGTGAGTGAGTGAGTGAGTGAGTGAGTGAGTGAGTGAGTGAGTGAGTGAGTGAGTGAGTGAGTGAGTGAGTGAGTGAGTGAGTGAGTGAGTGAGTGAGTGAGTGAGTGAGTGAGTGAGTGAGTGAGTGAGTGAGTGAGTGAGTGAGTGAGTGAGTGAGTGAGTGAGTGAGTGAGTGAGTGAGTGAGTGAGTGAGTGAGTGAGTGAGTGAGTGAGTGAGTGAGTGGTTTTACGCCACTTTGAGCAATATTCCAGCAATATCACGGTGGGGGACACCAGAAATGGGCTTCACACATTGAACCCATGTCGGGAATCGAATCAGGTAACTTTGAAGATGAGAAGGCAACACTTATGTCATCTGCCCGACTATTTTGTTGGGTTTTAAAAATATTTCAAACACTGATCATGGTAAGGTGGTTTAATCTTCAGGCACCCTGACATACTCACTATGATGCTGGTGGCTCCATTTCCCAGTGGTCCATAGCAGACATACGAGTGTCCAGTGATCCAGCCAACATCCGCAGTACACCAGTACACATCGTCAGGCTGGTAGTCAAACACGTACTTGAACGTTGTTGCCGTGAACAACATGTAGCCTCCAACAGTGTGAAGCACTCCTTTAGGTTTGCCTGTAGAACCACTGAAACACATTCAAGACAGACAAAATTTACACGAGTGATTAAGTTCTGCAGGGTTTTTTTTATATTTATCAATACAGAAAACTATGGTTAAAAAGAACTCAAAGGGACCGCTAATTTTACTTTGTAAAAACCATAGCTTGTCATACGCATATAAAATGTAAATGGCTGGGACTAAAAAATCAGTTGATATTCGTCAGTTCGTTATAGGCGAGTTTGTTATAGACGTAGTTACTGTACTCCAGCAATATCATCGCAGCTGGCACCAGAAACAGACTTCTCACATTGAACACATGTGAATATTCAATCCCGGGCCATTGACTTACGCAAATGTTTCTACCAACAGGCCATCTCACCAGCTGAATGACATGAATTTCGTGTTGAGAACATGTTAGTGTCATTGATGAGGCTTCTTTTACACTTATTGGGAGTTATCCGTTACAATCCGGGTTAGAATTGGTCTTCAGCATCCCATGCTTATCATTAGAGGGGAATAACGGGATCGGGTGATCACACTCAATATCTTGGTTGATGCATGTCATCGTATCCCGTAGACTGTTGCTCATGTTGTCAATCACTGGATTGGATCACTTTGCCTTTTGTGTGATGTACTGCAACAATCTTGGAAATTCTTTGCTCAAAAGTCTCAAATTCATGCCATGCTTTGACAAAAGCATCTCACAATGACAGAAACCAAAAATAAACATTTTGTTTATTTGTTGTTTAACGCCGAACTCAGTCAGTCGCCTCTTACGACAAGAATAGACTCCATTTATGGCTAGCATGGGTTGCTGAAGACCTATACTGACCCAGATCTTCATAGGACCTAAAAACAAACAATTTTTCAAGCACTTTTCCCACCAAACCCCAAAAGCAATTTACATAATAGACTTGTGAAACTAAGCACTTTTCTTACCTGTGTGAACCCAAACATTCATTGCCACATGCATAAAAGGCTGTATCCACAAATTCAGTGCTGTGTACATGTATAATTGTTAGTCAATGTTATTTATGGGACGGACTAGCACAGTGGAAGGCATACCGTATATCGCTGTGTATAAGGCGCCTTTTTCGTACCTTGATTTAGGGGGCTTTCAATGGGGGTCGTCTTATACAAAGGGTTGATGAGTTTTGATGTTTTTTCCCCCCAACACAAATGCATGTAACACCGGAAACACCATGTCAACAAATCCGTAATGAAGTACGCAAACTACCGGTAATCATGTTATTACACTGTCTGGTTATAAAAACAGTTCATTACATATCTGGACTTACCTTTGGAATCTATTTTATTAATTTTATTAATATTATTCAAAATTTCATTCAATATTGTTTATTTTCATTTCGGCAAAATCGTATGTGAAGTGATCGGAAGATCGCACAACTCACCCTTATTTACAGCAACCACGGTCATATTACCGCTAAAGACGCCTTGAAATGAACTTTAGTGGATAGAGAATGGATATAGATATCATAAATGCCATACTTTGACTCACTGAAAGTCATATTTGTTGTAGTTTGACTATTTTGTCAACATATAGTTTTCACTATCGCGAGCCCGGAAGGATCAGCGGTGATTGGTCAAACTGTTCCATACGAAAAAAATATCCGGCAATAGCTATCAGCTGTACCAAAGTGCTACGCTTATGGTTATTAATTTATTTCAAATACCGTATTCGACGTAATAAGCGCCCAGGGCGCTCTCAAAATTAGAAATAGGGGGCTCTTATAAGAATATTATTTTGGTGAAAAAAACAGTTGAAAGATAAATTTCGTGGTTTATGCTGACAGTCTGAAATGTTTATACAACAGATACATTTTTTCAGAATTCAATTGCCCATAATTAAGGGAGTGCGTATTATAAGCAAATAAATAAGTCTTGTGTACATTGATCAATCGGAAGGGGTGCTAATTGGAATTGTTCACTAGCCAATATATGAGGAATTATCGCCGTGGGCGCTTATTACGTCGAATACAGTATATATAGTAAAATACTACTAAAATAACATAATATTGGAATAAATTATTGCGAATAAAATGAAAGTTTCAGATTCAATTCTTTCGAGTATCAAAATTCTTTAAAGCCATATTCTTGGGTAATTATTAACCAAATCACTGGTAGATTCCAAGAAACCTGTGTACAGCAGATTGCTACTTCCAGCTTAGTTTATGAGAAAATACACATGGTAATCTTAATCTCTGCATATAAAACAATGCCTATCAGAACAGGAAATACAATTTAATCGGTAAATGATCATGTCTAGTGTTTTTCATATCTCAACTTTTAAATTTGTATTGACCAGGTTTAATTGTTATGATCTGTTCGTTTCCCTGATTGCTGAAGGGAAACGATGTAATTATTTTCTGTGGAAGACAAACACATTTTTACTGCAAATGTGGGGATTGTGTATGCGCTGGTGACGTGCTTCATTCCGATTCACTTTATAGACGGGGTATATAAATTAGCATCGATTTTAAAGGCTTGTGCAGGGGGGGTCGTCTTAAATGTGGGGTCGCTTTATAAACGGCGATATACGGAACTCCATGGATACACTTGTACCATCTGCCAATAAGCAGCTACATTTAACACCCAAAACAATCAGTCAGCAGATAAGAGTAAAAGTCAGCTCATTCTGTTCGAAAACAAAAAAATTAGGAATTCCAGGCCTGACTTTGACCAAAGGGAGATAATCACCTTGTATACAGCATGAAAAGGGGGTCCTCTGCATCCATCCATTCTGGTTCTAAGGTATCACTACTGTCCTTCATCAACTCATGCCACCACACATCACGGTCGCTGTGCCAGTTGATCTACAATACATACACCACATGTTTACAAAGCATGCATGCTATGTCAGTATTCACCTGTTGCCTTATTGCATGTGTCACAACAGTTGGTTGGTTGGTTTGTTGTTTAACGCCGCACTCAGCAATATTCCAGCTATATGACGGCGGTCTGTAAATAATCGAGTCTGTAAATGGACCAGACAATCCAGTGATTAATGTCAAGAGCATCGATCCACGCAATTTCGATCGATGACTTGCATCAACCAAGTCAGCAAGCCTGACCACCCGATCCCATTAGTCGCCTTTTACGACAAGCATAGTCGCCTTTTACGGCAAGAATGGGTTGCTGAAGACCTACCCCGGAATTTTCACGGGTCATGTCACAACAGCCAGCACCTTGTCATCACTACCTCTCCTGTTAATCCCATAGGCTTCGTCATTATATTGTTATCTTCGTACATTAATCCTATCACATCTGATTCATCATTATAATAATATTTTACAGCACAGACAGAATTCATCGTACTGAGAGCACTTAAGAGTGAGTGAGTGAGAATGGTTTTATGCAGCTTTTAGCAGTGTTCCAGCAATATCACGGCGGGGGACACCAGAAATGGGCTTCACACATTGTACCCATGTCGGGAATCGAACACGGGTCTTCCGCGTGATGGAGAGCACTTAAGAACCAGGGCCTCGTTCCTCAAAGCGATCTCAGCGCTACAATGATCTTAAGCCTTTGTTAAAGTATGGGACTTACGATCACCTTAGCGCTAAGATTGCTTTGAGGAACGGGGACCAGGCCTTAACACACCATGACTGGACAGAGTTAGAAATGAAGCAGGAAAGTAAGGGGTCCTTCTCATAATGTTCACCATATAACAGTCCTCATGATTCAAATAGAATAGAACTATTAGAAGCAAGATAACCCCTCAATTTCTGGCACAGCTAATCATGTAAGCTGTTTTCCGTGCCCCCTGTCTCACTACCATCCAATGATAGCGACATCAAACCATACTCACTATCTCGAAACCTGTTATCTTGAATGTTCTGATATCTTGATTATATTCTCCACTCCAGACCACCACAGTATATAATACATGCATATAAATTTGCCACCTTATCTCGAATTCGAGATAAAAATAAATGAGGCAATCTCGAACCTTGGACTTGGTCACAACTTGGACTTTACAATTGAATTTCTTTACTGTTATCTGGAAGTGGGCATTTGCAGTCACCAGAAATCATGGGAATCCTATCCATGGAATTAAATGCATCATTACTTGAGAACCTAATCTAACTCAGATCACCATTGTTGGTACCATACTAATATTTTACAGGATTATTTTGCTGATATCAGAAATTCATACAAGATCAGCTTTATATCATATGTTTATATCATATGTTTATATCATGTTTATATCATTCATGTTTATATCATTCATGTTTATATCATTCATATTTGAGGTCTTGTGCCCACGGGAATTACTTGTGTTCCAAGTAACCTGACTGACCCATTGTTTCAGTTTTGCAGCCCAAATATTTTCATCACAGCTGGAAACAACTGCCTAAAGATCCATCTTTTACACTCAAATACTACTAAAAAAGAGTTAAAGACCACTCGATTCTTTCATGGTCACATTCATGGCATGAATGATTAACTGTTGTGATATGAAAGAATCAAGTGGTCCTTAACTTTTTTGAGTAGTATAGTAAGCACGTGAATATGACACATCTTGAAACTTTACGACAGCAAAGCTTGTTCATTTCATATGAAGAGGACATTGAGTTTTGTGCTACATTGTGGTACTCTGAGTACTATATAAGTCAGATATTTCCCTATCTTGTCATAGCTGTTGCTTCTTTGATCTACAAATTTGACAAACACTGCAACTAGCATCAGTTCCTAACCAGCTACCTGTGTCAAACATTATTGAAAAAATCATAAATAGTGCCACAGTACTGTAGCTCACCTTGATATGTAGTCAACATTCTAAAATGTCAGCAGGAAGCCACTTAACAAAGTCAGTCAGGTGAGCTAAAAACAAAACTACCTTCCGTTCGTTTGTTTGTTGTTTAGCGCCGCACTCAGCAATATTCCAGCCATATGACGTCAGTCTGTAAATAATCAAGTCTGGACCAGATAATCCAGTGATTGATATCATGAGCATCGATCTACACAACTGTGATACAATGACATGCATCAACCAAGTCAGCAATCTGAACACCAAATCACGTTAGTTTCCTCTTACAACAAGCATAGTCGCCTTTTAAGACAAGCATGGGTTGCTGAAGACCTATTCTGCCCTGGATCTTCACAGGTCTTCCGGCCCACATCTGTGGGGGTCCATGTCACCTGAAACTCAACTATTTCATTTTAGCCTAAATCATGTCCCAAGTCTAACCTTGAGCTTCCGATAAGGCCTCTTGGCCGGGGGTTCATCATGGCCGTCCCCATCTCCATCTATCACCTCCTCGTCTGACGGCGACAGATGCCGCACTACGATACACTTGGACACTTTGTGGCTTCTGGAATGAATATCACTCAATATGAAGACATGTACGTAAAGAATCCAAACTAATAGAGGCTCTCAAAAATTGTTATTACGCGAATGCTTTCATACATAACAAGGAGTACAGTTTGTAAATGATGTACACCCACACAGTGGATGTCTTTGTCATTAACCTGATGCAGTCCCTGGATCAAAATACTACAGCAGAAAAACCCAACCTCCCAAAGGGCCCCCCTAACTTTGAACACTGACTTATCACTGCTCATACTTTAAACAGACTTAAATACATATTCAAAACATATATTGTCATGGATCGTTTATTTTCAATAATAGCTATAACATGCATAAGGACCATGATATTGTTGTCTGGAGGTTACTTGATATAACATAGAACTCACCTCTCACCACACAACCTAATGGCTTCATCCACAATTTGTTTGAGATTCAGAAGCTTGGTGCCGCGCCACACACCATCTAGTGAAGAAAACAATGAGTTGTAGGACTCTGCCGAGTTCACATTTATACTATCACATTAAACACTGTGAGAGAGTGAGTGAGGGAGTATGGTTTTACGCCTCTTTTAACAATATTCCAGCAATATCACGACAGGGGACACCAGAAATGGGCTTCACACATTGTACCCATGTCGGGAATCGAACCCAGGTCTTCGGCATGACGAGCAAACCACTTGGCTACCCACCGCCCCTTAAACACTATGGGCTCAGCTGGTGTAACACACATTCTGCGACAGCCGGACATAACAAACCACTACACCTGCAAGTTATGAAGTTATTATGAAGTCAGCCATATGAGAACCAGCAGTAATGAAACATATTCCAGTTCCAACCAGTGGTAATTAACACCATCATTAATTGTGATTGAGGAAGCTGAGGATCGATTATTGAAAGATGCTGGTGTTGGTATTTTTCTGTGCTTTTTGTAACTTGATGTATACGTGGCTATGTAATCACAACATAGCAATTGACAACTGAATACTGTAAGGAGTTGTGATCAATGAACTGGAATCTTTTATTGATTTAAAATTCAAATGGCGGACAAAAACACAGATTTGAGAAATATGATGTACTGATACCTACAACCCTGAAATGTTTACCATTACAAAAACTCACTGTCAAATATAACTCTCATATACAAGTCATTGACAATCACAGCACAGTACTTAATCCAATGAAATACACTTTTCTCATAAAGGTATATCAACCATGGTAACTTAAAAAAATTCAAACTGATACTGATTATAATCATGACAATCATTCTAAAGACCACATAACAATGTCTGTGAAGCACACATAAATACACCAATACCAGCCCTGTACCTACAGCCATACACTCGTCTATGCCTTCCTCTAATACTGTAAAGCAGATACCAAGGCAGCATGTGTCACTTTCCCTTTACCCAGCATCTACCAAAAGGGTGCATGTTCCTAATGGCATTTATTACATATAACTGATAATACCGTATTCGATGTAATAAGCGCCCAGGGCGCTCTCAAAATTAGAAATAGGGGGCTCTTATTAGAATATCATGTTGGTAAAAAAAAGTTGAAAGATAAATTTCGTGGTTTATATTGACGGCCTGAAATGTTGATGTATGACAGATATATTTTTCCAGAATTTAATTGCCCATAATTAAGGATGCATATAACACACGAGTGTGTATTATACGCGAAAAAATAAGTCTTGTCTACATTGATCAATTCGAAGGGGTGCTAATTGGGATTGTTCACTAACCAATATATCAGCAAATATGGCCGTGGGCGCTTATTAGAGTGGGGCGCTTATTGCGTCGAATACGGTATGCTTTGCTAAACATGCAACATATTTTGCCATACATACCACTCAAAAGAAGTTAAAGAACACCAATTATTTCATTTGACTATAGTTAATCTGTCATGGCCATATCATATAATCATATGAAACAAATTGGTTGTTCTTCTACTTCTTTTGAGTAGTATCTTTACATAATACTGTTACCTGTGTTTCATGTAATGCTGAGAACATTTTTAAAACAAACAATAAAATGTACATATAAAGACAAAATATCATTATTTCCATGGCACAGAGAAAGGTCAATGTTTCTCAATTCATACAATGATGTCAATGAAGAATCTAACTTAATGAGTTCACAATAATGACCATACAATCTACATACCATAAGAAAATATCATACACATTATTCCATTACTTGAAAAATATATAAATATCAAGTTATTTACATAAGGGATGTCAGGGTTTGTTTGTTTAACACCACACTCAACAATATTCCAGCTGTATGATGGCAGTCTGTAAATAATTGAATCTGACAAACCTGACAAACCAGTGGTTGACATCATGAGCATTGACCTACGCAATTGGGATACATTGAATGTGAGGGAAAAGGGGAAAGACTTGACTGTGTTTTATATCCCACTGTACAGACACCACTTCATTGAGTTCAAGGGACAAGTGAGTGAGTGAGTGAATGTTGTTTTACTCATCAGCAATATTAGTGTTAAATCAAGGCTGCCTGTAAACAGTAGGAACAGGGCCAGGCAAACCAATGGTTGATAGCATGAGCAACACCAGTAGGGGATTATGTGTTTAACCATGTCACCTAGTGTAACCACTCAATCCTCATTTCAGTCAAGCATGGGGTGCTGAGGGAACATGTGGAATTCCAACAAACAATGGGATTTTTAAAAAGTACTTCTGTTTTCTTAATTTCAGAGGTATTTTAACATTGCATTCAATGCAATAATATAAAATGAAACCTCTTCCAATGTATTGGTCCTGTCTTCAATGAAACACAAATTACCTTGACCAAGCAAGCACCCTTGTAAAAACAAAATAAAATTGATTTGGAATTAGTTTAGTCCCATTTTGGAAATATTTACTGACACTCCTTTCAGATTTTGGTCTGAATATCATCCTCTGAGCCTGTCAAAATATATCCATGAATTATATAATGTTTTCTAAAGATCAAAATGTTTTATGTGCACAGCAATACTTTCAAAATTTTAGTGCTATACCTATTTAGTTTTGGTACTATTTGGCCCTAGAAACTGATGTGACACGCTTAATATGCTCAGATGAACATGATATTGATAATAATCCCTGTAACCGTCCCCACAAAATATATGACATTCACATATAATCTGTGCCATCCAGACTGAATTCTTTCCAAAGTGTTTTAAGTTTAATAAAAAAAGTCAGTCACAAAAGGGGAATAACTCTGAATGCAACTAGAAGACAGACCTGCAGTAATTACTGCCAAACATTTTGCGTCTAAGATTCTGTCTGCTAACGACTCCGAGGAATATCCAGCAAACTACAACAAATTAATAACACACTGATGAATTAATAACATTAACATCAAGACGTAACACACCATAAACAAATTAACACATGATCATGATGATATATGCACTACCAAAAGTTCACAAATTGATAATTAATTTCCTACAAATATTCGCCTCATGAACTGTCATGGTTAGTGTTTAACATATTAAACACATCAGAACAATATCATCAAGAATTACATCATGCTTTCAATCTAATTAGTAATTCATTATTATTCATCTATGATTTAGTGCGACAAAAGTTGCAGAAATTCTTCAAAGAATATATTAACCAGCAACGAAAACCGTACAGATGAGAAAAATTCACAAGGAACATTAATTCTTCTTCTGACATAAATTTACATTCTACATTTTCTATTGAAACAGAAACGATCTGTTGTAACAAGTTAATCAAGAATGAGGACAGGTCAGATACCATCTAAGACTAAGAGTAATGAACAATGTAACATGCTGCATGCAAAACAAAATGGTTAGGGAATCGTGTGATGTTAGGGTCTGGAATCGTGAGATGTTAGGGAATCGTGTGATGTTAGGGTCTGGAATCATGTGATGTTAGTGCATCGTGTGTAAAACATGTAAAAAGCCATCACAAGAAACAAGGACATGTTACACAAAGGGGGTGCTGTTTATTAAGCAGTGACAGGTGACCAAGGGGTGCTAGCATCCCTGATCCCAAACAGGGAGCCACAGAACATCTCAACAAAATTCTAAGAAAATTGATTTTCTATTGGTATCTTGCCAGGTTAAAATTCTTTCTTTTTTCCATTCTTCAGTAGGAGTCGTAATATGGAAGAGAGATTTGTATATTTTTTTTTAAATTTTAACCACCTACCAATACATTGAATTTTAGGCCAAAAAATATGTAAACCAACTAATAAAAACTAAAAGGCTATGTGACAGAATATGTTTTTCAGCCAATGCTTCAGGAAACTGTACTGTCCATCATTATCTACATCTTCTCAGAAAATCAGCTTGTGTCAAGGCATGCTAATGTTCAAATACAAAAAAGTGCGTCTAGTCCTGAAAGCCTCTAAAATCAGCCTTTCTGACACATTTCAGCCTGATATACATTAAGTGTTGTTGTAAGTCCAATGTATACAAGTGTTGAAATCAACAACATCAAGATCTCATTCATATGGACATATCTGACAACCTTCATAATCAGTTCGAAAGGTTTCACTTATTTCTTAAGACTGTTTGATTAAGCATACCCTGTTGGCCAAAAAGGGCTTGTATCATACCTCGTCCTTTACAAGTAAGGCAACAGTTTCTCTGTGAGAGTTTTTATTTTCCTAAATTCTGAGGTATTTTAGCATTGCAGTAATGTAAACACCAGCATTAAGGTCACGTCTTTATTGGTCCCGTAATCAGTGATATAGAGTCACAAGCCATAACATTAGTTATAAGTTCTTTAACATGAGTGAGTGAGTTGGATTTTACGCCGCTTTTAACAGTATTCCAGTCATATCGCGGCGTGTCAGCTTAATGTGGGAGGAAAGCCCGAAGTGATACAGGTCTCAGACGTTTACCACTTCGGTGAAACCCACGAGCACGGGTATGGTGCTGACAAACCTAGAAACATAATCGGGGCGAACCGGGATTTAACCCACAATCATAGGTTTCAGGCGTGCCCAAGGGACGCAACTCTGCACAGAGAATCACGGCGCCTATGACGACTGGGCCACCCGTGCCCCCTCTTTAACATGAATTAGGCAACGCGTAATTCTAATTTGAGAACTTTTACTGACATTTGCTTCAGATTTGGGGCCAAATATTGACCTCTGAGCTGGTATAGATTAATCTCTCATCCTGTCCCAGGCTCACAACACTGAATCAATGGACATATCAATAACTGTTTCTTCAATGACACATGGCAACAGATTGACAATTAATTATTCATTGCCATACTAAATACATGTGAATTGCTAGGCAACTCAGATGACTGCACAGTGCTGTAAGCACATTTTTCTTGCCCAATGAAGATCTTAAAGTCCTTTTGAATGGTGAATCCCATGAGATCGATAACATTGCATAGAGTTTAAATAGAATTTAGTGAATTATCATTTATGATAAACTTAAATAAATAAATGTGAAGACCCAAAACACTCCCAGTATGGCTACAAGTGGTATTAGCTGAGACTTTTTGTTTTGTTTGTTGCTTAATCTCGCATTCATAAAAATTCCAGCGTTATGATGGCAGATTGTAAATAATTGAGTCTGGACCAGGAAATCCAGTGATTGACATCATGAGCACCAAATATGCCAATGAGATACTGAACTGGGGTGAGTAAAGATCAATTCTAACGCGGACCTTAACAGATCTGTTAGCAGTCAACTCATGGCTATGGGTTGTTCCACTTTAATCATGGGACATTCATTGCTTAGTAATACATAGCTATGATTCATGCCTTCTTAACATTCTAACAAAGTTTGATGCTGTATCAAATTTGCTAAAGACTATTGCATATTTAGCATCAGACTTGAGTAGAAAATATGAAGGCAAGAATTATAGTTACTCGCGACCAGGGGATGGTGATAGTAAAAGTGGAGAAGTACATCGCAGCTACAGGTTGTGGTGACTATGTATTTAACCAATGAGTAATATGGAAATATCCGTGTCCAATGACACAATACATTACAATCTATTTTATACAGCCAGGTTATCCTATACGGAAAGTGGACTGACAATACAAATAAATTCTTCTTATTTTTCTGAACAGGTGGTAATTGTCTGTGTCATTTGCCAGTCAGACTGAATGAAATATACAGGATTCCTGCATCAGGGTTACTCCTGGGATGTATCTAGAATTCTAAACCATGTGCCCCCTGACAAGGAAATTGTAAATTAGGTTTTCTCGGTTCAAAATGGGGAATTTCTTCACTTTCATGTTTTTCAGAATTGAGTGGTATCTTAAAATCATATTTTGAGATTGGATTCAATGCAATAATAAAAAAAATAAGCCTAAAGCCCCTTCCTCTTTATTGTCCCTTTTATCAGTGAAAAACAAGGTTACCTATACAAATTTGTGGTCACTGAAAATTGCTGATCTGCAGAAGATTCTCACCCCTGGATATGAGCAATAATTCACAATGTCAGGGTATTAGGACACACCAATTCACCTAGCCTGACTACCCAAGCAGTGTGCAACTAAGAGAGAAAACAGTTTCAGCATGTTCTAGTAGACTAGAAACTGGGGACTACAAATTGCAGCCATGCAGGGAACCAAACCTGGACACCGTTTATAGCAAGCTGACATGACCACGGAGCCACTTTCCTACCCATTGCCCAAGGGGAATTACTTACAAATCCTGCTGTAACATTGTGTTGTCATGGTGACCATTCATAAATAATAATCTGATTGTCATGATTATAAACTCTAAGTTACATATTAAGCAATGGATAATATTTTCCTGAAAACAGCATCCAAGATGCTGTGGTATATTTGTCCATGAAAGTCAAACCTGCAAGGACGATAATATTAGCGTTGGAGCTGTAGAGGCGCTGTGTGACGGCAAGGTCAGAGTATCCTGCAAACTAAGCAAGACAAAAGGAGAGTGTGCTGGTTAGTAGACAGAGAACAAGGAACAACAGATTAAAGCATGAGTGATGCAATTTAGCACTAAAGACAGCAGTAGAAACTAACATTTTTAGTCCACTAGTCCTTATAATGATAACATATAGCAAAACCCTTAAAAATAGCAAATTTCTACTAGTCGCTTATGATACCTTAACTATTGGGCAGTTTAGTGATGCAATTTAGCACTAAAGACAGCAGTAGAAACTAACATTTTTAGTCCACTAGTCCTTATAATGATAACATATAGCAAAACCCTTAAAAATAGCAAATTTCTACTAGTCGCTTATGATACCTTAACTATTGGGCAGTTTAGTGATGCAATTTAGCACTAAAGACAGCAGTAGAAACTAACATTTTTAGTCCACTAGTCCTTATAATGATAACATATAGCAAAACCCTTAAAAATAGCAAATTTCTACTAGTCGCTTATGATACCTTAACTATTGGGCAGTTTAGTGATGCAATTTAGCACTAAAGACAGCAGTAGAAACTAACATTTTTAGTCCACTAGTCCTTATAATGATAACATATAGCAAAACCCTTAAAAATAGCAAATTTCTACTAGTCGCTTATGATACCTTAACTATTGGGCAGTTTAGTGATGCAATTTAGCACTAAAGACAGCAGTAGAAACTAACATTTTTAGTCCACTAGTCCTTATAATGATAACATATAGCAAAACCCTTAAAAATAGCAAATTTCTACTAGTCGCTTATGATACCTTAACTATTGGCGGTTTAGTGATGCAATTTAGCACTAAAGACAGCAGTAGAAACTAACATTTTTAGTCCACTAGTCCTTATAATGATAACATATAGCAAAACCCTTAAAAATAGCAAATTTCTACTAGTCCTTATGATACCTTAACTATTGGGCAGTTTGGCAAGGACTACAGGACTACTGCCAATTTCTAATGCTGAAAGATGAGAAACCTAACAACTTACACAACTCAACTTTTCACTGGAATATTTACATGGTTTTCAAACTCTCCTGACTTTCCTTTTTGTTTTCTTTGTTTAATGTGGCTAATTTATAATCCACTGTAAGACGGTTAGGACTGGAACGATACACCAACTGTGCGATCCAATACGTATCACAATACCTTGCTCATGATCTGATATGTATCACGATACTTGTATGTGCTCGTATCTGTAGTGCGTAACCCATATTTTTCATAGACAGGATGGTCAAACACCTTGCACACTGATGATTTACAGTTGGCAGTGTCAAGTATGGTGCAATGGATGAAAATATCTACTTTTTCACTACTAATTAGCATGATTAGTGTTTGGTGTAACAACCATTAAAGTAAACATTTAAGGTATAAATCAATATTTTTTAACTTAGTGTGCAACTGTGATCGATACATTTTTATCAGGAAGTAAAATATCGCAATTCACCGATGCATCGGTGTATCGTCCCACCACAATCGAGGGTGGCCTGTAAATTATTGAGACTAGCCAAGACAATCTAGTGATAAGCAGGATGCTGTCAGGGTAAAATGACATGCCAGCAACCACCTGATCCTCTAAGTCTACTCATACAACCAACACAGGTTGCTGGGACCTTTCTGACAACAAATGTCAATATATTGTAATCTCTATTTTTGTTTATTCTAAATTGATATATAGAAATCATACGATAAGCAATCAACCACTTGATAGCCCAATCAAAAGTTGAGTAGCAGATATTTCAAGTATGTTAATATTACTATGATAATGAAACATTTCACAATGAAATACACACATACTTCCCCATGGTTTGGTACACAGTATACATGGAAAGTTAAACATGGTTTTAACATGGACAGTTAAACATGTGAAAAGTTGGATTGTTTTGACAAATCTGAAATGTGAGTTTTAGGAATTTTAAGGGGAAATCAGGGACTTATGCGGATATAAAACATTGAGATTCATATCCATAAATACCACTATGATCACAGGATCTTCCCGTGCCTTATATTACTATTGATATAACAATATAATTTGTTTATTTCACCAAAAATGACACGAAGGGTCAGTTATAATCATGATAATTGCAAATTTACTACAAAAGTAGTATATTTATCATGCTTATTTTCAAAAGTAATCTGTCCCTTTGATCAGATGAAAGAGTATGCTGAAGCCTGATAAAGGTCAAATAATACATGTAGTATTTTCTGTATTCGGAGTTCAATCTTCGGCCAGTTTAGCGGATAGACAGATTTATTGCCCTTATTACAATTTACAGCTGAGCGACATCTGGCAAATCAATAACGACTGAGAACTGGGATCACATGACGAGGCACATGCTGTTACGTACATATATATTGTAGCCTTCACAAGGATATATATTAATGAAACTATTTACATAAATAATCTAAGTTTGTCACTTCCTGTTTGATAAATACAAGCATTTGTCAAATGTTTCTTTGATAGAATTTAACAGTAAGTTATTTCATCATTAATTAAGAACCTAGAAAAAAATCTGTATTCCGTTACTTTTGCTTATTGAGTGACTTACTGGAAGAACAAATGTTGTCTTGATTGACAAACAATTTTCAACATATCTTCACCCGTCAGCAAACACAGATAGGAAAACTGATAAACAATGGTACCTTTTCCTTGACACTCAAATCATGTCTACTCAAAAATAAGAAAATAAGTTTGTTTGTTTGATTGTTTGTTGTTTAACACCGCACACAGCAATATTCAAGCTAATGACGGCGGTCTGTAAATAATCAAGTCTGGACCAGACTATCCAGTGATTAATATCATGAGCATCAATCCATGTATTTGGGATCAATGACATACATCAACCAAGTCAGTGAGCCTGACCACCAAATCCCGTTAGTCGCCTTTTACAACTAGCATAGTCGCCTTTTACGGCAAGCATGGTTTGCTGAAGACCTATTCTACCCCGAATCTTCACGGGTCTGAAAATAAGTCTTACACATAGAAATTAAGGACTGTGAAATGGCAGGGTTGAAACTACTCCTCTGTTCTCGAAGGGCACACCAAACTTCCTTTATAAACATTGCCTTGTAAAAATGTTTATTTTAAAAGCCAGTGATAAATGTACTTTTGAAAGAAATTAATGTGACACAATAAAAATGACACATGTATGAAAACACCTGATGCATGGTATGAGTCACAAACTCAATATGGAGATTCAGAAATGATAGAGGGTAATTGCAAATCTTGATGAAAAAGAGCTCTCTTTCTAAATTAGAGCTGCTTATCATGCTTATGATGGCCTGACATTCACCAAGTTCGAAGACGAATCAATAGTGATCAAAAGTCATTTTCTAAAGGGCACACCTAAACTTCTTTACAGCGTTAGAAATTAACAGTTTTATAATCATGATAATGATAAGATATAGCAAAACCCTTTAAAAATGGCAAATATCTACTCGTCCTTATGATACCTTTACCATTAGGCAGTTTGGCAAGGACTACAGGACTAGTGCCAATTTCTAACCCTGTTCTTTACGAGTGCCCTGTGGCACTTTGGAAAAACTACAACCATAAACCATATCTTCCCTGAAAGGCCTGTGTGTGCTTTCTGATCTAACAGACAAATATGTGAACAGATATTATGTTCCAAACCATGAGTGAAGTTGTGTTTTATAATTTTGCTTTCAGATCTAATCCCATTTCCAAATTTAGACAAGATTTGTACTAATAGAGCTCTAGATAAGCTGGGCAAAAATAATTGAGTACCCACTGACAATTGTGGATACCAAATTAAAACCAAACCCAAGGGTAAAATACCGAAATTACCAAAAGCTCAAGATCTCTGTATTAACCATGATAACCAACTAATCTCTCTTTAAAAACTATGAAAATTTGCAAACGATGAATGATTAGTCTTTAAGACAAAAACAGCAGCAATTCAGCAAAAAAACAACTGTGTTCCAGGTGACATGGGTAGGGGTGACTATTGGTCTGGAAATCACTATTGCGATAACCATGATAACCATGGATATTGCAAGAAACTATTGCGATGAATATCAATAGTTTTCAGTGTATCATTTCAGATGGATTTTCGAGTTGAAGTGATAACCATAACCACAAATAAAAAGTAAAGTTTGAGATATGACTGATTTGTTTTTTCTTTACCCTAATAATTTAAGAAAAAGAAACTTCCACATTACCATGTGTAAATTACTACCACTCTTGATCATGATGATCAAAAGAAAAACAAATTTGAACAGCATTGCATTTTATTGATATGGTAAATACAATCGAAACTATCGATATTCCTAACTGAAATAGATACTATTGATTGGAAACTGATTTAACAATCGACTTATTGACTTTAAGTGCTTACCAATAGTAATATATCGATATTTCGATTTATCATGACACGCCTAGATATTACCCAAAACTACAGATTGCAATGAAATATAGAGTTACTGTTAGGGTTGTCCTGATATGCAGGGATGAGAATGGATATTTTTCTTTCAGCTGAAACATCTTTGCAATGGAGTGTCGTCTATAATTTGGGGGTGTTTATGGGGGAAGCCATCAAATTTTAACAAATTTGTGGACATTAATTTTGCAGAAATTTGCGGATTCGCTGAAGATTCTCATCCCTGGATATGCTTGTTTCACAGTTATTTCACAGAAACACAGTTATTTGATTGTTTACCTAACAATGTTCGAGAAAAAGTTACAAAGCACTGATAATGGAAGCCAAGTAAGCATGATGAGAATGAAAGGACATTGAAATGAAAAAACTAGTGCAAGGGTCACAACGAACTGAAACAACAAACACAGATGGGTTACGTACAGATGGAAGCAACGTCAGTAAAAAGAAACGGAAGGCATTGAGCAGTTTGCACTGGGCTGAGTGAAAGCATTACAAGCATAACGAGATCCTACCACTATGGAATGAATGGCTCCTATCCTGGCACAGGCCAACATGGCTATAGTCAGCTCGATGATCATCGGCATGTAGATCGCTACACGATCCCCTTTCTTTACTCCTGGAAACAGAAAAAGTAGTGCATCATGACACACTGTATCAAACGGTGAGTGAGTGTTGTTTTAGGCCACAGCAGCTGTAGACAAGGCAAAACAGTGACTGAAAACTTTACTCCTGGAAACAGAAAAAGTAGTGCATCATGACACACTGTATCAAACGGTGAGTGAGTGTTGTTTTAGGCCACAGCAGCTGTAGACAAGGCAAAACAGTGACTGAAAACTTTACTCCTGGAAACAGAAAAAGTAGTGCATCATGACACTCTGTATCAAACGGTGAGTGAGTGTTGTTTTAGGCCACAGCAGCTGTAGACAAGGCAAAACAGTGACTGAAAACTTTACTCCTGGAAACAGAAAAAGTAGTGCATCACGACACTCTGTATCAAACGGTGAGTGAGTGTTGTTTTATGCCACAGCAGCTGTAGACAAGGCAAAACAGTGACTGAAAACTTTACTCCTGGAAACAGAAAAAGTAGTGCATCACGACACTCTGTATCAAACGGTGAGTGAGTGTTGTTTTAGGCCACAGCAGCTGTAGACAAGGCAAAACAGTGACTGAAAACTTGGGCAACTGTTAGAGCTGAATATGGCCAGAGGTCTCGCAATATGATACTTATCATGATACATACTGACGATACCACTAGTACCACAATACACAACAAATTAGGGCTGGCTATCGATACAGATCATAGAGATTGTTAACTACATACCGATCAATTATCTATAAATATCGGAGAAGAAACTTTGAGCAAATACGTAAAAAAGATTCCCGCAAGAAATCAACATATTTTACTCCACTGGTGAGTGGTGGCACATTTATGCATGGATTAATTTGTGGACATTTGAGATGTAACAAAAATAGTTACTTTCCACCTTCAGCAATTGACATTGCTGACATTAACAAGCCTGTTTTGGTAAATCTAAACTTTATTTCATCCCAATAGCTTATGTAAGATACAGTGATCGCTCGCTATTGCGCTACCAATGGGGTCCAAATAATTGGTGGGCGTTATAGACGATGAGCCGTTTAACCGAGGCCGAGGCGGGGGAGCGCGCTCGGCAAATCTCAAATCATCAATAGGCCTATGTGTTTATCTCACGTCACGTCACGTCAAAATAGTATATATTTTTATGGACCTAGATCTACCTGTAATATCATTCATTTATTAAATCTGTCATATTTCACAATGTCTGAAATACGTATTCCATTCTAATTTATCATTTTTTATCAATAAATTAAAAAATTATTCACTATTTCCCGCGATGTTATTGAAAATAAAATTCTCGGACACACATTTCGACAACGGGTCCGCATCGAACATGTCAAAGAGCAAAATAAAGACTATTTTAAGCAAATCTTTAAATATATTATACAAAGTGATAAATAAAATCAACAAAAATATATCTAAAAGTAATCAAACTTACATCTAAGTTATTATTTCCATCGTTTCGTGCGATCGCGTGTAATGTAAGTCAAATGACATCTCGGCTTTCGTCACCTTGAATTCTCGGCTCGGACACAACGTTTAATGCAAAAATATATGCATAAAAAATCTTTGTCACAGCTCGTAACCTAGCACGATACATTCGCAAAGTTCCATATTTTTAATATATATCGTGATTTCCTGCTTAAAACGTTCAGAATAACACGATTTAACAAAAAATCTTTCGCTAACTTCTGAAATTTATCAAACACGAGCTTTGTATCACAGCTTGATTGGCTGCCTGAGGTCACGTGCTCAAAATTGACCAATCACGAAACTTGTAGCAGATTTCGGCAAGAAAGCGTCATTAGAAACAAATTTTAATCCAATGAAATTGCTTGTTATAACTACGGGGAAAAAACAGGCGATGTTACGAAAGCGCGATTACGAAATGAATGACCGCCGTGTTGTGACAGCAACTACATGTGTGTGACAGTTTAGCCTTAAATTGGATTGCCCACTAATTAAGAATATAAACTTCACTTGTGGTTCTCTTTTATTGCCTGCATGCGCTTCTAAGATCAAAGGATGTATAGTGTGAAAAGTTAACTAGTAGAACAATCGTATTTCCGGGACCTGCCGCGGATGTTTTCAAACAGATTATTAGAACTCCATTCAGCGATAAACCGTTGATTATGCAATGAGAAGCGTTATGTGCAAATAAACAACGAACAACAATACAATCATGTCTGTGTAAAACTCTCAGTATTAAAAGTGTACATAAATTTTGGGAGCCATGCGTTACCGCGCGTAATAACCGAAGTAGCGCTTTATCGAAGAGCCCAATAGCGAGCGATCACTGTATTATCGATGACACAATTTTCATATCGATAATCGTTAATATTTCTTCCCATCCCATTTCCGATTATGGATCTTTTTTGCCAGGCCTACAACGAATAGTATGATGAAAGAACTGAAACACAGCTCTAAAACCTGCATACAACCATTTTTCAGTTTAAAGACTTTTTCAAACCAAAATTGAAGACTTAAATGCAGTGTTTGTTGCTTAGGCTGCACTCAGCAATATATCAACTATATGCTTGTTCGTTCATCTGTTTGTTGTTTAACATCGCACTCAGCAATATTCAACTATATGACAGTCTTACGTAAATAATCGAGTCTGGACCAAACAATGAGCCTTGATCTACACAATTGGGATACAATGACGTGCATCAAGCAAGTCAGAGCATGACCACCCGATCCTGTGCAAAAGAAATCTCTCAAAATTCTTTTTGATGAAAAGGATGCCTTCATGCCCAATAAAACTGGTGGTGGCTTTGGTTTTTATGCAATACAAGTTACCTTCCTTGCCCATTTTCTTTTCCCTTATCTCCATGTTTGATTGGTCAGTAAAATGTTCATGAATATCAAGGGTGGGTAATTTGATATCACGGAAACCACGGGAACGGATCCAGAGGTTCGTGTAGGTTTACAGGAGAGTCCTTTAGACATAGAGGATGCTGAGTTTCCAAGTTTCTATCCCTACAAAATTTGTGCTACTTAGCACGATCAGGTATATTTTGAAACAACCTTTCACAGATCAGCAGATGGCTGATGTACTCACCCTGAGCCTTGAGAACGTTGGCGAACTTGCATACTTTCTGCAGTAGCTCCTTGTAGGTTATTTTGCCACAGTCAGTCGGGTCATTCCCTTCCCTGGAAAAAACAAAGCATCTGGAATTACAGAAGTGAGGTGAGGTGACATGTGGTTCAATGTTGCTCCTAACAATGTTCAAGACAGGTCGCTAACATGGTTAGAGGTGAGGTGAAATGTGGTTTAATGTTGCGCTCAACAATGTTCAAGACAGGTCGCTAACATGGTTAGAGGTGAAGTGAAATGTGGTTGAATGTCACGCTCAACAATGCTCAAGACAGGTCGCTAACATGGTTAGAGGTGAGGTGAAATGTGGTTGAATGTCATGCTCAACAATGCTCAAGACTGGTCGCTAACATGGTTAGAGGTGAAGTTAAATGTGGTTTAATGTCGCGCTCAACAATGCTCAAGACAGTCGCTAACATAGTTAGAGGTGAGGTGAAATATGGTTGAATGTTGCGCTCAACAATGCTCAAGACAGTCGCTAACATAGTTAGAGGTGAGGTGAAATACGGTTTAATGTTGCGCTCAACAATGCTCAAGACAGTCGCTAACATGGTTAGAGGTGAGGTGAAATGTGGTTTAATGTTGCGTTCAAGATAATAGCCTTTCTAGTTCTATATATAGACGTTAACATGGTTGCAGTGTATGTGAGTTAAGTAATTTAGTTATATCACTGCATGTCAGCAGGGAATGCCTAAGGTGTGTAGGTGTTAAAGGTTAATAACTTTGTTGAAACCCATGAGCATGTTGAGCCGATGGTTCTGGCACACCAAGGGGACACAACTCTGGATTTGAACCAATTCTCTCAGAGTAGGCACCTAATTGCCAGCCCCATTGGCTTCCACAAAAATGAAAGTCTTACAACTTGCAGCCAAGATCACGTTCTTTGTATAACCCTCTGACAAGTGTTCTAATCATGTTCATATCCTTCCACTATTCGGCCAGAAAATGTTTCAGGGAAATTAAACTATTGATATATATTGACTCAAAAGTATCATGACAATATGATAAATTGATCAATTATATAATTCTGTATGTATATATAAAAAATACCTATATGTATGCGTGCAATTAATTAAATCATGCTAAAAATGAACTGACCTAATCAATTATTATGTTTAGAATTGAATATTTTTCCTTTTCATTGTCCATCGTAACCATCGTAACGTATCTCTTAGATAAGCTAACTTCAATAGTTTCTGAGAAAACGTGTTCCTATTGCAGACGCTGTGCACTTTGTAAAGCAAGGATCAAGGGCCGTAACTGTGTATGTTAAAAATCTAAAAACATATAGCAAGGGAAGAAACTTAGAAAAAAAATAATTAAGGGGGACCAATTTTTTAACAGTCTTGACATGTATCTCTTTGATACGCATGCAAAGTTTCATTCATGTAATGTCAGTAGTTTCTGAGAAAACTTGTCCTCATTGCAGACACCAGGCACTAAGTTCAAAAGCATAAAGCAAGGGCCATAAATAATTTATGGTACAAATTTTCAAAATCAGTCTTGACAAGTATCACTTATATACATGATATAAGCATGCAAACTTTCATTCCATTTCATGTCCACGATTATACGCAATATGCACCAGGTTCAAAAGCACGGAGGAGGTGGATAACTCTGTAAAAACGAATTTAAGACAGCAATTTTCGAATTTATTTCAGATCATGACTATTAATATCAGTGTGTAAAATTTCATTTCTCTAACTTAAATAGTTTTTGAGAAAATTTGTCAATCTGGAAAAACCGACGAACTCCATTCCTCTATTGCCTGCCCCACTGCCTCAGCCGAGGATGAATGGTCAGACAGGATCTAAATATCAATCAAAATATCAATCTAAAGCAATCACAGCATGATCAATTGTAACAATCACATTTTGAGAATCCAGGTGAGAAATCATATCCCTAATATCTGCAGCTACAGCAGTTTCAGTTCACTCGACAGTGGTTATGAACACATCTATATCAATGGAGGCGTATGTGGAGGACTGCAGCAGCAGTGATAACATGTTATCATGGTCCTGATAACAACAGACATATACCAGTAGGTGTTATCGTATGAGTACAATCTCATTCAAATCTGATCTTAGTTCTCGCTTCCGCTAAACAAAGATCTGAGGAAATCCCATTGCAGGTCATGTCAGAACGACCTTTCACCTAAGAGCATTGCTTATCCGATCATGAAAGTGACAGTTGGATTATGATTTTTTATCGTGCAACCTCGGAAAAAACACACAGGGTATTCTGAACGACAGTTATGGGCTTTATGACTGTATTCAAACAATCTAGACCATCTATCAGCTATTCCAGAATGTTCTTTTGTTCAGTTTTTAATCTAGTATATGTCAAAATATGTTTCGAAGCGTAGTTGCCAGTTTGAAACTTGTGCCGTAAAACTTGATTAAGTTGGTTGATTTGTTGCTTTACGCCGGGCTCAGCAATATTATAGCTATATGACGGCAGTCTATAAATAATCAAGTCTGCACAGACAATCCAGTGATTGACATCATGAGCATCAATCCATGCAATTGGGATCAATGACATGTATCAACCAAGTCAGCGAGCCTGACCACCCGGTCCCGTTATTCGCCTTTTACGAAAGGCATAGAGGCCTTTTACGGCAAGCATGGGTTTACTGAAAAACTATTCTACCCCGGATCTTCACGGGTCAGGTATCCTTTGTCATAAGAATGAAGAGAATACAAAAACACCAAATCTTTGTTGTAAAGTAACCTTTTTCAATTTCTCGTTTCTGTCTTCGGACAAGATTGGTAGATTACACTATTTTACAAGGACGGTTGATGTGACAAGAACCTCAGCAACAATGTCTCACAAAAAGTTGCCAACATCATCGTTTGACCTACATTGTCATACATTATCTGTGGAGTAGGAAGTGCTCCCATAGCCTGTCCACGCTTGCAAGTCATGCTGTCCACATGGCAGACCACTAGCTGGGTCTTCTGAATGCATGTATGCTGTATGGTGTTCACATAGCAGGCCACTAGCTGGGTCTTCTGAATACATGTATGCTGTATGGTGTTCACATATCAGGCCACTAGCTGGATCTTCTGAATGCATGTATGCTATATGATGTTCACATAGCAGGCCACTAGCTGGATCTTCTGAATGCATGTATGCTGTATGGTGTTCACATAGCAGGCCACTAGCTGGGTCTTCTGAATACATGTATGCTGTATGGTGTTCACATATCAGGCCACTAGCTGGGTCTTCTGAATACATGTATGCTATATGCTGTCCACATATCAGGCCACTACCTGGGTCTTCTGAATACATGTATGTTGTATGGTGTCCACATATCAGGCCACTAGCTGGATCTTCTGAATGCATGTATGCTGTATGCTGTCCACATATCAGGCCACTAGCTGGATCTTCTGAATGCATGTATGCTGTATGCTGTCCACATATCAGGCCACTAGCTGGATCTTCTGAATACATGTATGTTGTATGATGTTCACATAGCAGGCCACTAGCTGGATCTTCTGAATACATGTACGCTATATGGTGTTCACATATCAGACCACTAGCTGGATCTTCTGAATGCATGTATGCTGTATGGTGTTCACATAGCAGGCCACTAGCTGGATCTTCTGAATACATGTACGCTATATGGTGTTCACATATCAGACCACTAGCTGGATCTTCTGAATGCATGTATGCTGTATGGTGTTCACATAGCAGGCCACTAGCTGGATCTTCTGAATACATGTATGTTGTATGATGTTCACATAGCAGGCCACTAGCTGGATCTTCTGAATACATGTACGCTATATGGTGTTCACATATCAGACCACTAGCTGGATCTTCTGAATACATGTACGCTATATGCTGTCCACATATCAGGCCACTAGCTGGATCTTCTGAATACATGTATGTTGTATGATGTTCACATAGCAGGCCACTAGCTGGATCTTCTGAATACATGTACGCTATATGGTGTTCACATATCAGACCACTAGCTGGATCTTCTGAATGCATGTATGCTGTATGGTGTTCACATAGCAGGCCACTAGCTGGATCTTCTGAATACATGTACGCTATATGGTGTTCACATATCAGACCACTAGCTGGATCTTCTGAATGCATGTATGCTGTATGGTGTTCACATAGCAGGCCACTAGCTGGATCTTCTGAATACATGTACGCTATATGGTGTTCACATATCAGACCACTAGCTGGATCTTCTGAATGCATGTATGCTGTATGGTGTTCACATAGCAGGCCACTAGCTGGGTCTTCTGAGTACATGTATGCTGTATGGTGTTCACATGGCAGACCACTAGCTGGATCTTCTGAATGCATGTATGCTGTATGATGTTCACATATCAGGCCACTAGCTGGGTCTTCTGAATGCATGTATGCTATATGATGTTCACATATCAGGCCACTAGCTGGGTCTTCTGAATACATGTACGCTATATGATGTTCACATATCAGGCCACTAGCTTGGTCTTCTGAATACATGTATGCTGTATGGTGTTCACATAGCAGGTCACTAGCTAGGTCTTCTGAATACATGTACGCTATATGATGTTCACAGAACCAAAAAAGTGTCTTCACTAATCACATATATCCTACCCTTCAACTTGGTCGGAAATTGGCATTTGAATAATTCCATTAAAAGAGAATATTATGATGCACCTCTACTAAAACTCAGGGCTTTAATGTTGACCATTTGATAATGGTTGTGTGTGAAACAGTCGACCCAGGATAAGAACAGGCCCACAACTGTTTCTTGGCATTAATTTCTATTTAATTTAGTGTAAATACAGGAAACTATGTGTATAACAAACACGCTATTAACGAACTGACAGATATAAGGAACTTATTTTTTGGTCCCCGACATTTGCTGTATATATGCTTAAAATATGCTTTTAACGTACTACGGTTATAACGCACAGAAATTAGTGGTCATTTTGGGTTCGTTAGAGCCATAGTTTACTGCATATCATAAACTGTGCATACTAGACAAAAGACAATTCTACTGTACTCTTAGACTCTGTACTGCTTCTTAGACGACTAGGTCTATCTATCTATATTT